CGATTCGCCAGACGGGGCGTCTTGCCAAGCTTCTGCGGTCTTGCCAAAAGACGCTCGCGATTGCAGTGCCCCCCTTTGCTCTCTTCGTTTGCGTGTGCTACCTATACCGGGCGCACTTCTGAGAGCTACAGGCGCACAGGGCCGCTAGCCTTTGCCTGTAATGATGTCCCGGACTCTTAAAAAGGAGGGCGAGCCCGTGCCTCGTGGTGTCGCCTGTCGTCTCGTTCGGTTTGTATCGGTAGCCGGAGGGATTGCAGAGGAGTCGGGCACGCCGAGCGAGCGGCGAAACCGATAAGAGAACGGCGGAAGCATCTGAACAGAGCTCGGACAGACAGAGGCGAAACCGATAAGGAAATGGGAAGAGGAGAGAGGCGGACTGGCCTCGCGATCTAGGGACTGGCGTCCCAAACGGCGAAGAAAAGTGGCAAAATATCAAAAACGTCCCAGGAGTGCCACTGTCCCCTAACGGTTTCGCTTAAGAGTTTCGCGGGGCCACGCGGGGGCCATTTCTGCGCTAAGGGAATTGCTTTGAAATATTCGACGAATATTTCGAAATATTCTCCAAATATTCTAAAACATTCACAGAGTATTCGAATGCTTTCAAATATTGACAAAACAAAAAAGGGAAAGGCTGCCGCAGCGTCTCCGGCAAAAATCCCCGCAAGGGTTTCCCGGGTCTCCTTATCGGTTTCGCTTCGCCATATTCTTCCAAAAAATTGGCCACACATAGGAGGCCCCATCGGGCCTCACTCGGCGGCGTTTCGATAAAGCCCCGCGCCACACTTTGCGGCATGCTGCGGCATTTTTTGCCACACGTAAGAAAAAACCCAAAGCATACAACAACGAAAAAGCCACAAAAGCTCTAGCAAAAAAGCCTGCCAGGCTGTTGGCCGCTTTGTGAGTCCCTTAGCCGTTTCGAATTCGCGAAGTGTCCCCCCTTAGTGGTTTCGGCTTTTGTCTGGGTATCTGTTTCGAGGGGGGCTTTTATTCAGTTCCCACTGATAAAAAGCTCCAGAGCCTACCGGTATCAAGCTAAAGAGTGGCGCGAAAGTTGTTAAACCGTGCAAGGAAAAACCCAAGCACCACCGGAAAAAAGTCAGAGGCTAGCGATCTCAAGTGGGAAAATGGCCCGGAAGTTGCTAAACCGTGCAAAGAATCTCCTAGGCGCCACTGGTAAGCGGAGCCCTGATAGCTCCAGCAGGAAAACTGTCCCCAAGTTGCTAGCCTGTGCCTACTTTGTTCCAGTCACCACCGGGAAAAAGCCCAAGACCAGAAGGACCAGGCTGAAAGATGTGCAAGCGTGCGCCGCTTTCTGGTAGCCTCAGGCGACACACCGAAGCCAAACCCAAACCAAAGAAACCCAACGAGGCCCAAACCGTGACCAAACTGAAACCAAACGCGAGCGATACAGAACCACAACGCAAGCGAAACTGAAACCAAACGCAGGCCAAACGCGAACCAAACTTCAGCCAACCTCGAGCCGAACCAGAACCAAACGCAAACCAAGCCCGGACCAAACTCAAGCCAAACCCAAACCACGCCCGCGCGCAAATGCAAACCAAACTCCAGCCAAACTCAAACCAAACCCACGCCAAACGGAGACGCGAACTGAACACATTCAAAACCCAAGCGCAAGCCGACCAAACCCGCCGGAAGCCCGCCCAACCTCAAACCAAACAGGCGGGCCCCAAGCACGCCCGGAGCCCGAAGCAGGGCCGAAACTCGCAGCATGCTCGAAACTTGGGCCAGGCTTGGGGCCTACGCTGAGCGTGGAACCCAAACGGGGCAGGCTGCGGCGCACTGCCTTTGCGTCTTCTCTGCTCTTCCCTCTCCTTTTTCTTGGGCCTTCTGAACCGCAGGGAACCCGATGCCACCAGCCACCGCGGCGCGCCCTCGAATCTCGAGGAGCGAGAAGCGGGCAGAGAAACAAGAGAGGCAAAACGCGGGACGGCATGACGATGCTGCGGCTTTGGCTGCGCGTGGTTCTCCAGTGCTGACCCGGTCGACACGGTCCCGCCTGTGTTGCCTTCGTCTTCTCTTTTGTTTCCCACTCGTTTTCCTCTCTTCCAGGAGACTCGAGGGCGCGCTGCGGTGGCTGGTAGCGGGCTGCACTGCGTGCGCAGTGTGTCCCGCTCGGTCTTCTTCGTGCTTGCTTACCTCCTTGAGATTCGAGGGCGCCGCGCGGTGGCTGGCGGTGGGTTATGAGGCGAGTGCAGTGCGCTCCCCGTCTTTGTCTTTCAGAAGGCTCCAGCCGGGCTCTGGACTGCTTCAAGACGAGGAGCGAGCCCTCCCGGAGTCGGGAAGCTCTCGCGACCAGAATCCACACGCGGCCGAGGTCGCTCCTGGCTTCGTTCACCAGGGGAAGGGGATCCACCTCCCCAACGAAATGAAGCCGCTGAAGGTTTTGTCGGTGGGGGGTCGAAGTTGTGCGGATTTGGTTGAATCTGAGACGTGTCCGTCTGTTATTTTGCAGACTCCTACAGGCGGCTCAACTGCCGCAAGAACATAGAAAAAAACCAGATCGGGCACCGGACTGCTTTGGGACCGCGGGCCCCCCTCGACTCGCCCCGAGACCTTTGCGGCAGCCCGGTCGGGGCTCGTGGCTGAGTCTTCTCCAAGCTTCTCGGAAAGCCTGGGAGGCTGGGGCAGAGCCCGCGGGAGCCGCCTCGCAAAGCCTCCGGCAGGCTCGCAAGAGGCCGCCGCCGAAGCCTTGCGCGGGGCTACATTCTTCTTCACCACGTGGCTAAAGCGTAACCATTAGAATCAGCCGCAGAACGATGGCTACATCTAGACGGTGGAGGAATCTAGACACAGAGCGGACGCCGGCGCTGTGCGGCGTCGCGGTTCTGGTGTTAGAGCAGATGGCCGCGGGGTCCTCTCAATGTCAAGGAGCTTCCTGGTTTGCTTCGTTTTGGGCTCGGCCTGCTTCTGGTCTGATATTGGTAGGCCGCAGGGCTTTCCCGCTTCCAATTTTTAAACGCCGGGCGGGGGCTTGGCTCCAGAGTCCATTTTTTGCATTTATATCAAAACAGGAAAAACCGCAGGCAAACAGCCCCGAAAGAGAACGCTTCGCAGGTTTCAAAGGCCAAGCGAATGCGGCCAATTTACAAAACCGCCGCACGGTTAAAATAGCTACAAAATCCAAAAGCCCGAGCAGAGAGAACGAAGGGCCTACAAAATTAATCGGCTGTATAAAACGAGAAAACTGTCGCCAGCTCCGTCTCTAGCGTGCGCGTGGGCTTAATTGGATGCCAGTGCTGGGCGTCCGTTTGATCTTGAGACTGGCAAAGCTTTACTCTGACGCAATTGCCCGAGAAATTTAATCCGTCCGCAAATTGTTAAAAGAGTCGACTTCTGCGCCAGCCGTCCAGCCGTTTGCAATAGTTTGGGGCTGCTCGTCGCTTTCTTCCCGGAGTATGTATCCCCGCGCCAGGCGACCTCCTACATTTAAGAAAGCGGGGAGGCTGCTCCGCTGGTAAGTACATACTTGTGGGATCGCTTGGGCGCGTGTTTTGTTTTTTGGTTTTCGAAACGCGGTGGATCGTTTCCTGCAGAAAACCACCAGGAAAAGACGCACCAGGGGCCGCACAGGTCGGGCACCGCCGGCGCCGCTTCGGGGCGCCCAGAGTGTATTAGCAGAGCCTGACTCAGGCCGGCGTCGGCGGTATATCGGGCGCCGTCCTGGACGAACAATTGCGCCCGGGAGGTAGGGTGAGGAATATGCGATCTAGGCTGCGTGCTTCGCCCTTGCTGGGTTATTCCGCTCTTCTGCGTGTTGTGTTTTTTTTTGCTTCCCGTAGCCAAGAAGTCTAGTGGCCATTGAGTCCAGGGCTCGACCCTCGACGACTTCTCAAGAAAAGCTTCACCTGCGTGACGCCATATCGTGCCAAGCTTCATGTTCAGAACATCTAGAACAAATAAAATACTACTGGTAAGGTGGAACTTGTCGTTGGCGAGCGGCGTAGGACTTGAAGTCCTGTGGAACAATCTTTTTTTTTTGAATTCTGAATTGAGAACCGGTGACTTCGTAATGACGGAACACTTCGTAATGACAGAACCAGCTGCTCGGAAACTAGAAATAGCCGAGTAACAAAAACGATAGCCGGGTATTTAGGATTATTACCTCGGCTACCCGGTTCTTTTAGTTCATCGAATACCCTGAAGAAAACTTGACGGAACGAAAAAACTGCCCACTGCAGACAGATTTGACTTGAAGTCCTGTGGAACAATTTTTTTTGAAATTCTAGCAGTGAAGTATGGGCTCTTTTGCGTTTCAGTTGCCATCAGAATCAATCTGCAAGAAAAATTTAGTGAACGAAACACAATTACGATCTCAACAAAAAGCACACAACAAAAACGAAACTAAGACGATCTTTGTCCGAGTGACATCGGGATGATGGAGTTATGATCATCCATACCAAATGCGATCCAGATGACGGAGTTTTGAAGTAGCACTTAACCTAAAGATCAGAGGAGATAGAAACGGTAGATCAGCATGAAAAAGGACACGAAGATCTTTCTGACGCCATAATTTCTTCTCTTCGTGGCAGGCATCCAATCTTCACTTTAGACTTAAATCTAAAATCAAACAGGTGGATTTCGTTTAGTTTCTTGCTTTGTGATAGTGCACACTATCTTCTTTTTCCGTTTCTGCATCTGATACTGTACATTCCTTATTGCAGCTTTTTCATTGAACAGTATCATGATGAGACCTTAGTATCAGCGTGTAGCATATTTATCAAGATATTGCATTATTACATACGCCATCACCATTATCAATATGGGAGGCGGTGGGAAAGGCAAGAAAGGCTCCGGCAAGGGCGGGAAAGGTAAAGGCGGCGTGCACAAAGGTGGGAAAGGCAAAGGCGGGAAAGGAGTAAAAGGTGGGAAAGGAGTAAAAGGTGGGAAAGGAGCAAAAGCAGGCGTGCAAGATGGCCAACAAAAGCGGAAAGTCTTGCGTGGGTTGACCAAGGAAATATTTGATAGTCATGGAGAAGAAGGCGACGTTGACAACAAGAATTCTATGGCTACTACTGGTTCCGCGGCGTCCCTACAGAATGTATCTTCAGGCAATCGGAAACAGATGAGAAAACAAGAGCGCAATGCACGCAAGCAAAGGAAAAATGCGAGACAGAGGTATGCAAGAGGTGAAGTTGCTGGAGACGAGGATGGGGAATCCGCTTCTTCTTGTTCCGATGAGGAATCTGATACTAAAAAAGGCAAGAAAAATGCTACTTTTCGAAGGAGCAGTGGAGAAAGAGGACGAGAAGACGATGAAGTCGTCGCAGATATTGACAGTCAGTCTGATGAAGATGTTGATAGTGAAAAGGAACTTGACGACGACGAAGGACAAGAAGCTTCCCACGACGACTCTAGTACAGATCCCTCTACTGAAGTTGGAGTAAAGAATGCTGAAGAAAATGACCCTGACGCGGAAGAATTGCGGTATCTTGAAAAAATGCTAGGGCTTTCTGGTGGTAAAGGAAAGCAAAAATTGGCTAAGGAAATGGCCGACGACGGATTTGATGATGACATATTGTCTTTTTGCGATGATATAGTGAGAAAAGCCAAAGGAGGTACTAAGAAGGCTGGTTCTACAACTGCTTCTGTGGCGGGAGAAGGCAGCGTGGTCGACGAGAAGAAGCAAAAAAATGAGTCCTCGAAGAAAGGGGATCTGAAGCGAGGTCGATCTCTCGCGGATCTGGAGGCTGAAGTAGGTGCAAAAAAGCCTCACCTGGTGACAGAGAGAACATCCTCTTCAATAACTTCTTCTTCCAAGAACAACGACAAGAAGACGAAGATGAACCAAGAAACTAATTCTGCTAGTCCAACACCATCTTCCGCAGAAAACTCTGCAGATTATGCGAGTCGCATCCTCGGATCCTCTGCGAGTGCTCTTGCACAGCAAAACCAAGATCTTTTGGAAGAGGATTTAGCGGAATTGCGGTACCTGGAGCGGCAGTTGGGACTGAGCGATAGTAAGAAGCGGAAGAAGATGGAGAAAGAGTTGTCCTTGGACGGCATAGACGACGACTTGTTGGGATTGTGTGACTCCATCATGCTGGGAAAAGCAGGGCAGAAAAGTAAGAAGGGAGAAAAAACGAAAGCTAGTGACAAAAAGACGAAGTCCGAGAAAACGAACGAGTCGAGTCCTACTGCGAATACTGCAACTTCTAGTAGTACCACTCCGTCTTCGCCTGGTCTCGGGAAGTCACAAACTGCAAACTCACCAACCGCTTCCACAACCGTAAAGGGCCACGTTAATGCTACACCTGAACAAGCACAACAAGACGTGCCTCGTTCCGTCAGCTGGGTCGAGGAGTATGCTAACGGGCAACCTCCTGCCTCGACTTTTGCGGGAGACGGAGAGGAGGAAGAGGAAGAAGAAGATGGTTTTGACCTCAGTGACCTGGACCTATCCGATTTGCGAAAAGAGGATGTAATTGCCTTGATTCAACAGGGCGTCCTGGGTCCGGAGGATGTAACTGGTTTGACAGGGATTGAAGGCTTAGAAGGTTTGGATCTCGAAGGACTTCTTGGGAGTCCCGATGTCAGATGCGATGACGAAAAAGAAGGTAAAAAAGGAGATGATGCTAGCGACAGTGATAAGGACGATTCAGAAGACGAGGAAGAGAATTCCAGTGAAGATTACGACCTCCCGGATGAGCCCATTGATTTGGAGAAGATCATGCGAGAGAGAGGGCATTTACTCAAAGAGGATGCGGAAGAAGATGGGGATGATGAGGGAGTAGTAAAAGAGGCGGATGTTCTTGACATAAGAACATCGACCACTGCAGCAGCAGCAGCATCTTCTTCTCCTTCTGCTTCTCGTGGTGCTTATGTACCACCTCATCTTCGAAATGTTTCGAAAAAGCAAGGTCATTCTGAAAAAGAGGATGACGCAACTATCGACAACACTACTTCATCTTCCACAACTTCCGCCACTTCTTCGTCAGTAAAATTAACGCGCTGTTTGAACAAGCTCTCCGAGGGTAACTTGGATGGTATTGCTTGTGAGGTGTGCGAATTACTGAATCAAGATGGAGTTGCTGCATCTACTGCGGATGCAAAAAGTTTGTTCGCACGTGATTTCGCTCAAGCTCTCGTCAAAAACGCTTGCGACAATCCCCACACTTCTGTTTTGGTCGTTGCCTGTTATGCCGCGGTCGCAGTGGCTGCTGGCGGCGCAGCGCAGGTGCGCTTTTTACGTGCAGTAGTAACCGCTTTGGAGAAACGGTTTAAGGATTTTTGTGAAGAAGCGGAAAAACGTCACCGTGGTGGAAGCAACACCAAGAGCAAAATCAATACAGGATCTTCCAATACAGGAGCTGAAGAAGAAGAATCCCAATTGTCTTTGCTGGCTGAGCAGACGAAGCATGTGGCACTAATGTTGTCACTCCTGTTTCATTTCAAGGTGTTACCGGCGACGACGGTGTTTAACATGTTCAAACTCCTTATGCGACCGTTCACGACGACAGGAAAAACGACTAAAGACGACACAACTACAACGACTGCCGCTGCCAACAGTTCCTATGCCTTCGAGTGTTGTGTCAACGTGGCATTGGCCGTGTTGCGGTATAGCGGCAAATCTTTGAAGTCCCGACACCCAGAAGACTTGCAATCTATTTTGGACTTCCTACTAGAGATTCCGGCTTTTCGAGTTGCAGGTGTTGGTGGCTGTGGCTCTAGTAGTGGTACGTCTCCTACAAGCACATCGATGGATTTGGTAGAGCGTATGAAGGCAAAAGCCTTAGGAGGTGCTTCTAGTAAGGATGGTGCAACTCCTCTTAAGAGGAAAAAACTTGCTGCTGGTGATGGGGACAAAGACGCAGACGAGATGAAGTTGACGAGGAGGGATGATAGCAGTCGGTTGGAGTTTTTCCGCACAGAGCTGTGGGAACTGAAGACCGGAAAGGGCAAAGGACAGGGGTTTGCCGTGATGGAACGCTTTCAGCAAACGGAAACGTGGTTGAATACGTGCAAACTACTAGGAGGAAATGGTTCCTTGTTTCCAGACGTGTTGACCTTTCAACACGAGTTCCTGTTTGAGGAACCTCCGATTTGTACTCCTGGTTTAGACGGAGCGGAAGCAGGAAGTAAAAGTTCTTCTGGGACGAGGACAGGAAGTGGAAGTTCTAGTACTTCTCCCCTTACGTCTACGGATAAGAAGCAGAGGAACATCACCTCCACCGAAGAAATTTATTCTTTTTCTAGCTCCTCCACTTCTGACCACACTATGCTAGTGGAACTTGCGAAACAGCAGAGGTTTTCGACTGATGCTAAACGTTCAATTTTCGTCGCTCTCATGGGTGCAGACGACGACACACATGCGAGGTTGAGAATAGATCAACTGTATAGTGGCAAAGGTGCTGGTTCTGCAACATCCAGTAAGAAGATTTCTTCTTCTGCCTCTTCTAGGGGAAATAGCAACAGCACAACAACCCTCCCCTCCAAGACTAAACATCGTGATGTTTGCGAAGTCATAATACATTGTGCCGTCCGTGACCAACATGCGGGTGGCTTGTCGCCCTTTTGGCCCTTATTGTGCTTGCAACTGACCCAAGCACATGGAGAGGGGAAAAAATTTCGACAAGCCTTGCGACAAGCCTTAGTGCCAAAATTGCAAGAAGTGCACAAGTACCAAATGCGGCCACTGTTGAATTTGGCACAATTATTCGCGGCTTTGGTCTGCTCGGAGGGCAGTGGAGATTTGCTAGCTCACTTGCGGTTCTTGGATTTCGATAATGCATCTTCTTCGACGCCTTCTTCAGGAACTTCAAAAAACTTGCGTCGCATATTTGAGACACAGCATGGCGTTTTTCTAAGAGAAGTCCTGTGGCAGATTTTTCGACTTGCGGAGGTACCCCAAGTGGAACACCAAATCTTCCTATGTCTAAAAACGCAGTATCCCGATGTCCGCGATGCTCTTTTGCTGGTTCTAAGAAAGCTAGTGAAGCCAAGAATTGCCGCAGAGGAGAAGGAGAAGGGACAGGATGAAGATGGAGACGAGAATCTTCCATTGAAGTACAAGCTAGTAGAACGATGTCTTAGCGGGAAATCCTAGCTGTGTCATCATCTACGAACTTCATCCCACTGGTTGTCTCGCTGGTTGTGCTGGGGAGAACCATTTGATCTTTGGGTGTCCTGCACATTGGGTGTCATGCACCTTAGGTGATATGCACCTTAGGTGATATGCACCTTGTTTTCACTAAGCAACAACTTTTCCTTTTCGTAAATGCAAATGTTATTATCTGAATGAGCGTTTATTCGTTGACGATTTAAATGTGTCCACGATTTACGACATCGAGAACCCTCTCAAATGACGTCAAAAACCCTGTTTCCTAACAATTATTGACCACCTCTGAAAAGTTTCCAATCCGCGGATTTGCTGGTTGTTTGGCTGTTCTCAGTCTGGTAGCAGTTGAATACCTTTTCTATCGGCAGACAAGGGCTAGATCGGCAAGTTTATAGTGAGCAGATGAAAGAATGGCTTTTTATAATTACATGACGATATGATCACAAAACGAGGATCATCTGTTTCTGACCTCTGTGGATGTATGATCCATCCTGAGCGATTTGAAGGATCATGAGAGGATGAGCATGGACACATAGTTGAATTAAGCTATGCAGCTCTTCTCCGCGTCTGGGGATCGGCGTAGACACATGGTTGAATTAAGCTATGCAGCTCTCCTCCGCGTCTGGGGATCGGATTTGACTGGATTGAATTAAGCTATGCAGCTCTCCTCCGCGTCGGGGGATCGGATTTGGCCGGATTGAATTAAGCTACGCAGCTCTCCTCCGCGTCGGGGGATCGGATTTGACTGGATTCTCTCGATTTTTATTCTCCGTGCTTTCTCTGCATATTTCTCGTCTTGAAGGGGCGTCTTTCTTGCCTCAGAAGGAGTTTCTATTGCCGCTCGGAGGACATCTTTGCGGTCCTCTCAACTGGAACTTTCGCGGAGTTGTTCTTTCTTGCTTTCTCTTTTCGAATTGGCGCTTAAACTTCTCTGCGGCAATAGGAGTTTGGACCATGGCATCCCCACGTGGTAGTGACCAGCAGCTCTCTCGAGAGCCTTCCTTCAGGCAGATGTGCTATCCTTCGGACGGCCAGGTCAGGGCTCGAGAAGAAGATGACGCAGGGCGACATATGTCGGTCACGGCTTTATGGTCAAAAGTCTGATTTAATATTGGCTTTATGATGGTCCCGAATGCAGGGTTTAATGTTAATCATTCAGCTTTTACTCTATCTAGAAATATCGACTTTGAAGCGTCCTCGGTATGCCTCATTATTCGGCTGCAGTGAGTTTAAGCTTACTGGAGCTAGGATCAGCGCGAAAGTTAGAAGTAGAACATTTTGATCCCTGATTATGTACTTGTGATGTGTGTGATCCTTGTGATAAGGCAAAATTTACATCAGTGGTTATATGGTGTTATGCAGCATGTACCTTAAATAACCACGGATGTAAGTTTTCGCTGTGCCATTAAACCTCCGCCCTATACTTGTTGACATAGATGCCATCAGCGCTGAAACGACCTCAACTTGTTGACATAGATGCCATCAGCGCTGAAACGACCTCAACTTGTTGACCTATATATCCCTCAAAGCTAATACGACCTCCATCTACTTCTAATTCAAAAAAGCGACCTTCTAATTCTAATGCAAAAAATGCGACCTCCATCTACTTCGAATTCAAAAAAAAGACCTTCTTCTAATTCTAAGGATGTCAGAACCAGTCGTGTATAGTTCCGCAGGTCTGCCTCTACCCCCTAGGAGAGTCCGGAGCGCCAGTTCCATGCCCACTCAGCAGCAACCTCCGATAAGTGACGAGGATTTGATGCTGGATCTTGGTAAGAGCTTTACTCATCAATGATGTGTATTTTCGTCTATTTCTAAATGAGTCTAAATGCTCTAGAAAGTTTTACTAGAATAGCGTGGTCAGAAGTACGGAGGAGCTAGAAGAAGAAGAAGCTCCTCCTATAATATTGTGTATTTTCGTGCGGTTTTACTAAAGATTCTAGTGTGGTCAGAAGTACGGAGGAGCTAGAAGAAGAAGAAGCTCCGCCTATAATATTGTGTATTTTCGTGCGGTTTTACTAAAGATTCTAGTAACAACAGCTGCTACCCTTATTTTCACTACTTTTCCACAACAACGCACGGCACATAATGCCAAGTGACGAGGATTTGAGGCTGGATTTTGTTTGTCTTGTATCAAGAAGCTCTAGTTATAGACGTCCAAATGGTGCCAGAAGCTAGTTATATTCCAGAAGCTAGTTATAGGTTCTGGATTTGACACAACACACACTCACTACTCGCAGGCAACGTCCAAATCCAGAAGCTAGTTATACGGCAATTTGACTGGGAGAAGATCAAGGCGCACTTCACCAGCATCCACATGGACGAGATTAGGTTCACGAAGCAGAAATTGAACGCCTTTTTGCTGCCAGATTTGCTTCGTTACGTATGATTCACAGATGTGTTACTTTCGGACTAGTTTTCAGAGATTTAGTTGTGTTAGTTTTTTAATTTTTTTTGAAAGAGGCCAGGTCTCAGTTTCTACCCGCATTTCTTGTTGATTTTGCATTCATCTAGTGAGGCAACATTGTAAGGCACTGTTTTCGATTATCGGGAGTATAAGGTCTAATATTGTAAACCATTGCTCGTTTGATTATCGAGAGAAGTACTGGAATATAATCAGCGAGTGAGGCTTGTACTTCCATCAGAAGCGAGTATGTTTTCACAAGTTGTTGGCACCGGAACAGCTTTCATTTTCTGGTCTGCAGCAAGTCTTCAACGGTCTTTGCGCAACAGGGTATCTTATGGCTGGATTGGTAGACAATGTCTTAGAGCCGTTTTAGAGCACAACTGCTCTTCTTTTCTCCCAATTCATATGTTGAGGGTCCTTGCGATATCATTCCTTATAAAAACTGTCGTCACACTCCGTAGTCGTCCTCTTTTCTTGTACAAATAATAGGCGTAGCTACTTCCAAAAAATAGGCGTTTTCCTCGTACAAATAATAGGCGTTTTCCTCGTAGCTACTTACAAATAATAGGGTATCTTATGGCTGGATTGGTCGTCCTCTCTTCTCTTTTACCTACTTCAAGAAATAAGGGGAATTTCTCCCCTTCTCTAATTCCTTCGAAGACTGCGAGAGCATGATGGCCTTAGAGGATGCGGAGTCTTGGCGCGCTCTTCAATCCGAATGGGAAGAGAAGAAACAATATTTCGCACGTCTCTTTGACCGAGAACTCTGGCTATCCTGCCTGGTGCTGACTGGAATACTCGCTTTCGTGATGCTGTTAGTTGCTTTGCTCATCGCATTGATGATAGTGGAGAAGGCATTGACGATACGGAAACGATGGCGAGAATGGCAACAAGAACGGGCCGATGCGCGCACGCTTCATGACGAGCACGACGAGGATCATCCTGGTCTTGATCATCATGGCCTCGAAGACGGAGTTGATGACCAAGACCATGACCATGATCTGCAGAACAATGGTAACAATAATGAGGAGAAACTTGTCTTGCTCGATCGAACCGTGTCGAAACGAGAATTCCTGGTTGGACAAGGAGGAACTAGGGACTACACTAGGGATGGAAATATGAGTGTAGAAGAACAACGTGCTGCAGCGGCCAGGCGAGTTCTCAGTACCGAGACGAGAGGAACTAGAACGGAAGACCGATCCCCAATTCTAGAGCGCGACAAAAAGGAAAGGAAGTCGCGGAGAGCGGAGTCCAGTAGGGCAGAATCAACTAGAGGCATCCGCTCCTCTGGTCATACAACGAGTGTGCCCTCAGACGCGTCCTCACGGAGTAAATCGGGAAGGGTCAGGAGACCACGTGAATTAAGGGTAGGATAAAGGTGCTTTTGTTCCCGCTTTTTATGCCTTTCCTAAGGGAGAAAGGCAGAAAAAGCGGGGTCCACGAGCACCAAGACCCTACCTCTAAGTGAAGATGGTTGATGAAACAGGCAAACGCGCTTGTATTGGAATTAGGCTGCTCTCTGATTTCAGTAGAGGGAGGCTTCCTCGTCGAACTGCGGAAAAGGATCTTTCTCTGTGTAACAAATAGGGAACCTATTTCTAGGCGTGTTTTGCACCGAGTAAGCGGATCCTAGTTCTAGTCCCATGCGTCACAGTTTAGCCTTAGAAGTGCGGGAAGTCCAGCTCGAGGGAAATTCTCTCTGAAAAAGTAGCGAGAGGATACGTCCTTGTTCTGTAGTGTGTCACCACAAAAAGGAACTTCAAAAGAGAGAGAAACTATCTGTGTGGTGTTCTGATACACTCCTGTCTCAATAAAAGGTATTTCAAAAGCATAAAATCTGTTTTACTGAGAACTCCATGCAAACAGACGCACATAAGAAAAGTCTGTCCTTCTTAACGAGAGAGAAGCTGTTCTACTCCAAGTGTGTTCATCAACATTCTGTTGTGAGATTTTTTGCAAATCGTCGATGGTTTGACTTTTGAAATCGTGTCATCATCTGCAAAAAAGGGAGTGACCTGAAGGATATACCCTTTTCCCACGTACTCACACACACGTTTAGCATTTACGTATGAATTAAAAGTTGTAACCCAGATGTATAGGATCTTTTTGCTCTTCTTCTTGATAATCACCTTGTCCTCCTACAGCGATAGCTTTATATATTTTATTTTTTCATTTTTGGGCTCGCTTAATTTCTATGCTGTTCCTGTAGCTCCTGTCCTGTGAAAATATTAATTTTGGACATTCATACTTTTTTTACACATGAGAAGTATTGCGGGATAAGCATCTGAGCACCGTTCGATACGAGCTGCACTAGCTGAACTACCTATGAAAAACCGTACTTTCATCTTTCAGAGCTCTTCGTTGTTCCTGAAGAGCGGTTTTTCGACTTCTGAAATTGGAAATTCGAGGCCACACAATGGGAGGCGGCTTCAGCACATCTAGAGGCGAAGGCGGTGACAGCCCGACTTCCTTAGGAGGCAGTAGGCGGAGAGGATTGCCTGGACGCCCACGATCAGTTCCGAGTAACAGGGCAGAAGGAGAGGCTAGTCCGGGAGGGAGGGGAGGGTATTCTTCACTATTTAGTTTTCATAATAGTTAATGTCAGTACTTGGTGCTTATTCATCATTGCTAAAACTATTAAATTAATCTCCAGGCGAACAAGATGAACAGAAAGAAAGGTTTTTCTATTTACTGTAGTATGTACTCTATAATGATCTTGTTAGATTGATCTTCTCTTACCACAACTCCAACCTTACACATTCAGTTCCCCCGGTGGCCGCGAAGGACGAAGTTCTCATTGGTGCCATCAGTGTAGTCGCGCCGTGAGGCTAAACACCAACAGCCTATGCAGCGTTTGCGGTGGAGGCTTCGTTGAGGAGGTTGCCAACGACTCGGCGATCCCTTTGCTTTCCGCTTTGCAAGCTGTTCAGCAGCTAAACCAGATCCACGAGGAACAAGCGGCTGGCAGGTATTTCTTGACGTTTCTAAGCCCTAAGCCCCCGTAGCCCGTAGAGCATGACACAAGATTCTAAGCCCCAGGCCCGTAAGCAGAGGTATTGATAGAGAGATCCGATGTCATCAATCTTTAGGAAAAGTAGCGTTTCAGTACTTAGATGAAAAGTCAAGTGCTCGACGGAACAAAAATTCAGACGCGGCGGCGCCGATGAAACGGGCTTTATCATTCGTGGTGGCAATAGACCGCAGGAGATTAGGATAGAAGTTTTGCTGCGGGAACTGCAAACTCATCTTCGGATGGCTGAGGGTATGCGTACCGCAATGCGAGAATTGATGCTGGAAGAAGACGTAGTAGAGCAAACGCAGTATAATCCGTCTCCAACTAATGGAGTGCAGATTGATCCATTGAAAGAAGAGAAATGGCGGAACATAAAAATAACCAAAATTTCGAGCGAAGGGGAGTACAAAGCTTGGCAGGTATAGTACTTTGCTTACAATTATTTCTCGTACAACTACGCGATGGATGCTCAGTTCTTACTTTTGCTAGTTTTTATTACCACTGATAGTGCCGCTCGGTGAAGACAGAAATTTTGATGAGAAGAATTCCTTTTCAAAACCTCAATTCAAATGCTCAAAATGTTCTTTCAGCTCCAGCACCACAATTCGGAAGCTAGAAAAAAATTCCTTTTCAAAACCTCCAGCTCGAGCACCACAATTCGGAAGCTAGACAGGAGGAGGCCTGCGCGATCTGTTGCGGCGCTCTCTTCGAGGGTGAGCCTGTTGAAATTTGCGAACTAAACGGTTGCCATCACGAGTTCCACAGAGATTGCTTGCAAGAGTGGTTCGCGCGTGCGAGTAGTTGTCCCATTTGCCGTTGTGACTTGAACAATGCCAAAGAAGATCGAGAATCAGAGTTCGTCGAGCCCCCTACGAATCAGAGTTCTTCATCTGCCAGAGAAGCTGGAGATTCGAGTTCATCACAGTCAAGAGGGATAGCACAACTTACGGCTTGCGAAAATATTGTTATCAGTGAATGTTGAGTAGTTGTAGTTAGTAATTAAATAGAGTTTATTTCGAGAAATTAGAGAAGTCAGTGCATCAGTTGTGGCCTCCGATATTTGTTTGTTTGTACCCCTACTTGCCGGGTACATCATCATGATAGTGAAAACTCTTCGTCTCTTCTATCCAGGTGTTTCTCCTCCTCCCTAATGGAAGAACAGACCGCGCTTCCCGTCGTGGTGCTTGGCAACGGCAACTAGGCAGCGAAGAGGACGTGGCGTCTTTAAGCAGTCTATCGGATCCAGAGTATACGAGTAGTGGCGAGGGTCTACATGCTTCCTCGACTGACGCAGCCCACTCGATTCCTGATGAAATCACGCCTTCAGGAGTAGCAGTTCCACCCTCTAGTGCCGCGTCGATGGTCACTGCGAGCCCCTCTACTTCGGCAGATATTAGTACGTAGCAGTTATAAGGCGTGTCCTGGTCTTGTCTTGGTCATGGGCTGGCTTTATTCATTCTGAGTAAGTCTACGACTCGGCGCCACAACTGCAGAGCCCCTGTTAAATACATCATTACAGAGCTCCTGTTAAAATGGGTGATTAAGTTGAAGTTTTGGGAAGTTAGTCTGAAATCCAGTGAAGATTTACTTCAAAATAGGAGTATACGGATAGAGCCACATCTGGAATGAAGATAGTGGTCATTTAGTGTACCTCGTCCCGTTACCCTTATAATGTCGACTCTTGAGATCTAACCAGATAAGTCTTTGCTTTAAATCTAATGACTGTAATAGTTCTCCCCTATCATTCAATTTTGTAAGATGACAATTCGGCATGATAAGACTACAATAGACATTATGACACATGTTGTTCCTGTACCTACCCTATGATCTTCATACAAAGATCAAGCAGCATCCCAGGAATTTTGTCTTTCGTATATCTACAGAGACGGAAATCGGGGCTATTATTCCATCCAATAAGATGAAGTGAAAACTTTATGCTCCTTTGTCGCGACACTTGAATATTTAGTTCTCATTCAGGTAAAGATTTGCTTCCGCATACGCGCCGCGCATTCCCTAGTACAGGCCTCTCGCTGCGCCCCTCCATACAACAGCTAACCCTACTACATGACTGATTGATCACGAGCGAAGGATCCCTTTCCCATTGTTGAAGTTGTCAAACAAAAAGCGCCAGTAGATCGTTTGCAGCCTGCTTGTGCTAATTCATCTGCCTATCATAGGATGGACATACTAGAAAAGTTAGAGTTCAATCTATTATGGCACTTCAATGGCCTCGAGCGCTCACCTCCTCATAGGTGAGCCAACTCCTATCCTATCCTACGTTTTGTTGTAATGTAGTATCCCAATCTTTTTAGAAGAATCCAAATCTAGTGATTTTTTGAAATCTTCTGTTCCTGGACTCATTTGGATTTAAGATGGGACAAGATAGAGTATTCACAAGAATATTTCTAATCTACGTTTTCTAAGTCGTGATGCTACTATTCTGTGTGGCGAAACTACTTAGTAATTTCTGCCGATCCGGTGCTTCAGCCGAGCCGTAGTAGAAGGAGGTTAATGGACTCCACCCGTCGCCGGCAGGCACGCCGGATATCACTGGGATTACCCTTTCGGCGATCTTGGCATACAAAAATTACAGCAGCGCTGAGGCGGGAGCCCATCTGAGTCGGAATCTGTGCACTTTATAGAAGATCCCCATCAACGTTTAGGCTGTGGTGCTTTCCTCCCCATTCCGTCGACCTCTCGTATTTGATGATTATATTTTGTAAAATATAAAGGTAAAGCTTGAATGAGCTCAGCAACATGCATTGTCATCTTCTGACAGAACTCATCTACTCTTTTCAACATGTGATTGCAAATCACAATTGAGGATGATTGTATGAAGAGCTGTGTCATGATCTGAGCGTGCTTAGACAGTGACTTACTCTTGACTCAGGCAAATTTTCGAAAGGGCATATGAGTTAACTTTCTTCCCTTTACGTTGTAGTGAACTATTTGCTCGCTGGGATCCCTGGTGTTCGGCGCAAAAAAGTGTTCGGCTAGAAGATGAGAGATGGGTTCTACCTGGGGAAGCAAAAAAGCGAGCGAAAAAAAGTTGCGGACCACCCAGTGCTAGAGTCCGAAGAAAATCTTCGCGAAATGAACACAATGAACACATAAAGTTTCAAGAGGAAGTCGATTGGTCATTTGCGCTGTCAAAGTACTACTAAGTCCTAGCAACTACATTGAATTTAAACAAAAATGGCGAATCCATACGCAAATGTCCCGCTTAGTACGGGTGGCGCCTTTCCCGGCCTCGGAATGCAGCCGGCCACACAGAGCGCGACGCAGTCTGCTTATGCGCAGCCAGCTGCCTCGCCGTCGCAACCGCCAGCTTACAGTAGTCTGTCAGGAGGAGCCACTTCATCGTCGCAATACCCCGGTTATAGTACTAGCAGCAGTGTGCCAGGAGTAGGAGTACAACAACAACCACCGCCAGGAGTACAACAGCGATACTCATCACAGCAAGTTCCGGGTGCACCTTCCTACCTAGGTGTACAAGGTCAACAGCAACAGCAACAACCGGTAGTACCAAGTTATAGTCAGCAACAACCACAACAACCGATTGCGCAGGGATATGCGACACCGCAAGCGGGCTATGCGGCACAACAACCAGGTTACGCGACACCGCAAGCGGGCTATGCGGCACAACAACCAGGTTACGCGACACCACAAGGGGGCTATGCACCGCAGCAACCAGGATATGCGACACCGCAAGGGGGGGATACAACGCCACAAGCGGGATCATATGCGGCAGCACAGCAACAGCCAGGAGTGCCAGCAGCTCAGCCAGGCTTTGGGATGCAACAGCAAATGCAGCAACCGACTCAACAGTTTCAACAGCCAGGTCAATACCAACAGCAGCCACAACTTGGTGTTCCGTACCAACAGCAATACCAGATGCAACCAGGAATGCAACAGGGAGTGACGGGGATGCAACAGGGAGTTCCAGGAATGATAAATCCTAGTACTCCGCAACAAATTCAACAGCAGTCCCAACAACAACCCGCATCATCCTCTGCAGCAATCACTTCTACACAACAAGTAGATCCTAAGAAAACCGAGGGGCTTTCGGCTGCTTCTCTCACCAGAGTCCAGATGGAGAGGGTTTTAGCCCTCAAAATGAGTCCCGAGACCGCCGTGCGCAAGATTCAGGACTTCATTCGGCGAATGGCGCGGAAAAAGAGGTTCAAGGTCTTGATTCATCGAAGCATCAAACGTAGAGAACGTCTGGAGGACCGTGATAAAGTGCAAAGAAGGATCTGGGCAAGAGAGCAAGACTTGGCGAAGATGAAACGCTTCCTGTCGGATCAAGAGTTTGGAGGACCGGCTGCGGTACTACCTACTAATTGATTGAGCTGAATACTTGTATGCACGACATCGACCGTGTTTGTCTTTCGAAGAAAAACTACTCCATCTCCAGAATTCAGAAGCCTCGATGCATGAAAAGATGCTCCACAACTTCCAGCAACATTTGCATAGACTTACTAAAACCCATATGATGATCTTAATTTTTTTATACAAGAACAGGTAAACGAGCTCGTCACCTACACGGAAGGAGAAGCCGCTGTGAAAATCCAAGCTGTAGTCCGTGGTCATCTAGCGAGGAAGCGCAAAGTCAGCGCAATGACGGCTAACTTCAAGCATCGTTTCATCGTTAGAATGCAACGTCTGTTTCGCAAGCGACGGGCTCGGAGGAAAGCGGCGGCTGCGGCTAGGGCTTCTGCTCTTTCACAAGAAGGAGGAGAGGGAGACAAACAAGTGACTGGTATCAAGCCACCTGGGGCTGGTACGACTGGAGGCATCCTGAAGAGTCCCAAACAACAGACTGCTTCCTCTTCTTCCCGACCCTCTAGTCCCCCAACTACAGGCAAGAAGCTCTCCGTCGAGGAACAGCTAAAACTAGCTCGACTCAAGTCCATCGATCGAGTAACTCTCCGAGAACTAGGTTCAGTCACGAAGGAGACTGCAGGACACAAGGATGTGGAGATTTTTCAGAGGAATATGGAGGTCGAGCGCATGCGCGAATGTGAGAACAAGGTGAAAGCGAAGCTAGACGCGTTTGAAAAGTCTCAAGTCACGCCCTACGCAGCCACAGACATGGAGTTGGAAGACAAAGCGCAAGAATGCTATAGAAATTTTGTATTGCCATATTTCTCTTTGTTGAACAAGAGAGATGCTTACTCTAATTTTGATCGCACTCCTCTATAGATGAAAAAAAAAGACATTATCCTAGACCTCCTTGGCTTGTATTTGTACGAAGAACTTGTAGAGGACGATCCACGACTCCAGAAGGTGAAAATCCCAAGGTCTACTCTTCCAAATACTTACCCCATCTGACAGAACAACGAAGCCATCCATCGCCGCAAGATAGCAAAGCGCTTAGCGCTCGCCAAGCTGCAGATGCAACAGGTTGAGCATGTGTTGCAGGACGCTAAATTGGGCGATCCTGTATACGCCAATCTGAACCTGGCACCTGGCGAATTCATCCCCGAAGCCTGGGAACGGCATAAAAGACGCCACTTGGAATGGTATCAACAGCACGCCAGAGGACGGGCGCGACGGCTGACGAGGAAAGAGAGACTGCAGATGGCTTTGGAGGAGGAGGTGGGAGAAGACGGGAATATTATCGGACAGAAGGAGAATACGAAACCAGTTGGTGCGAATGCAGCTTTGCTGGAGTTGGAAAAGATTCTTGGGTACTTGTGCGTTTTTTTATGTTGGTATCCAGGAGAAAATTCTATAAACGTTTTTATGAAGATCAAGATTGTTCTATAAACGCTTTTATGAAGATCAAGATTGTTCTATAAACGTTTTTATGCAGTAGATCAAGATTGTACTGTAAACGTTTTTATGAAGATCAAGATCGAACTATAATCTTCTACTTGAGATCTAAAAAGCGTGAACAATGCTCAAATTAAGGTACGACTTCACGCCGTTTGATCCCTCTGATGCTATTCGGGTACAGCAGAGGAAAATCAGACCTGAGGACTTGCGACTGACCTCAGTTCAAGCGTCTATGAGTTACCTTCCGCCTAGCAGTGTGGCAGCAACGACACAACAGCAAGCTATCACTGCATCTGGTGCGGCAGCAGCTCAGCAGCCGCAACAGCAAGCTGCTGTCCCAGCACCAGGAGCTTCTGCCCAACAACCACAGGCGGATGCGGCATCTTCTGTGGCAGGACAACAGCGAGCACAAGTGCCGTCAGTTGCATTACAACAGACGGTGGCGCCAGGATCAGCGCAGGTGCCACAAGCGCAGCAGGCGGCGTTGCAGCAACAGGCTATGGCAGGAATGCAGCAGCAACAAAATATGCTACTGCAGCAACAGCAGCAGCAGGCGATGCTGGCTCAGCAGCAACAACAACAGGCAGCGTTAGCTCAGCAACAACAACAGCAGGCGATGCTCGCTCAGCAGCAACAACAGGCGGCTCTTGCGGCGCAACAGCGACAGGCAATGTTAATGCAACAACAGCAACAGCAAGCGATGCTTATGCAGCAGCAGCAGCAGCAGCAATCGATGATGCAACAGCCAAGCGGCATGCCATTGCCGTCTCAACAGCCTGGGCTCAGTGCAGAGCAATATGTGAGAATTCAGGGTGACATATCGCCTGGAAAACGCATGATTCCTGGTTGAAAAGGGGATCTCGCTATATGAAGCACTATGAAGAGGTGACTCATATTTATAAAGACACTGAGTTCTGGTCCATTCGCATGGCTCTGGATTATGAGCGTTTGGGCTAATCGCACAATCATTTGTAGAAAGACCCCGTTTCCGAGCCAACCATTTGTTCTCTGTCGAAACGGGATTGACAAAAGTAGGACGGGTACCGGAAACAGTCATGGGTATTGTTTTTTTCTTGCTGCTGCTGAATAGGGGATGGATTGACAGATTTTGAAGAGCCTCCCTCACCACGTAGTACCCTCTTGTGTCCGATTTGTTTTTCTTTGAAGCAGAAGATTATGGGAGAAATAGAGGCATGAAAAACCAAAAGTAGAATTTTCACATGCTAATCGTGTGTTGACGAATTCAAAACGAAACGAAAGCTCTCTAAGCGCACGGAAGCGGTAAGTATGCACGCTAACACTTTCGTGACTTTGATAATTCGGATTCTTCATTCAGAGTGCTAAATCGATAGCCACAAACGAAAGAGAAAATGGTAACCCTCGATCCGGGCTCCGTCTTTGTGACGCTCTTTGTTGAGGGTCTAGACGTGGAAGACGACGTCTGCGGCAGAGAAGGTGAGAAGTTCCTGATCAGGTGGCAGGTGTTGAACAATTTAACGGTGCCTTGTGAAGCATTTTCAGAGCCTTTTGATCCTAGAAGCGGTCTGTTGACAGGGATTCATTTCTTGTGCGCGCCGTCGAGTGGGTTTCCTAGTAGTGGACCTGGTGGACTTGGAGAAGATGGCGAAGGTATAGGGAAGCAGGAAGGGGTGTCTTCTAGGAGAACCACCGACGACCATATTAAACCCTTATCAACTCTGGCTGAAAGAAGGACTCCTGCTAGTACAACGCCAGAAGCACCTCTGTCTCTCCGCTTGACCCTGCTCCGCTTCAACCCTGACCGCCATACGGAAGAAGATGTAGGAGAAAGTGCGACTCTGCTGTTGCATGAGTTACTCGTAGGCGATGAGGAAGAAGAGTCGTGCCTTGACGAGGATAGTCGTACGCCTTCGTCACACCACAGTTTTGATTCAGCTGGCGATGCACTGTCGAAACTGGCACAAGACTTGAAAGATGAAAAAGCAGACCTTTATTTTCTTGATGAAGGGGGTGCAAATGATCAAAAAGAAGCTCTTGACGGTGAAGACAAACAGATGAGAAATAGTACCAAGGACAATGCGAATAGTGACAACATTGATCTTCTAGACGGTAAACTACGATGCTCTTATTTACATCTACACGGTGGCACAGAGGGCGCACTGCGTGCAGGTGCAACAGTGTTTTGTGCAGCACAACCACGATGGCGAGGCAACATTGCTGGGATGTCATTAGCGCAACTAGAACAATTGAAAGCATTGAAGGACGTGCCGCATTTTTTACCGAGGTCAGATTTACAGGCTAAAGGAGCTTTGGAGTATTTGTTGCCGTCGGAAGCAGTGGCTGCAAGTTCTCCTACCATCAAGGGCGAAGGAGGTAATGATCATGGCAGGAGAGAAATATTAGAGGAGGAAGAAGAGAAGCCTGCTACTGGTGTTGAGAAGAACGTCGCTTCCAATGATGCATCTACTCAGCACCTAGTGGAAGTAGGCGATGCCAAGGGCCAGAAACCTCCACCTATTCTCGTCAATCCACTAATGGATTTGGCCGCTATTACCACCTCAGCGCGCACTAATTACGAGACCGCACGTACCGATGTCCAATCCACCGCGACTACTTCTGCAAAAGATTTAGTAGTAGGGACAAACACCAACGCCAACAGCAAGAGCAAGAGCAACATCAGTTGCTTTTTCCACCACAACAACGATTATTATGGAGGCGAGGAGGAAAATTCTTTGCTCTTACTCGGTGGAAACGACCTTTTACCGCCCGATCAGATAGGGACGCCAGACTTAGGGACGCCGATAGCACATGCGTCGCCGTTCATGGACGAGCGGTCATTGTTTTTGGAGCTATGGAGTGCTAGACGGGAGAGCGAGCTTGTGGGAGGTAATAGCAGCGCACAAAAAGTGGCTGGAGGAGATCACCTGCTGCTATCGTCTGGAAGGAATTCGAATACTAAGAGCACATCAGTAGGATTGCCTTCGCCTACTTCGCCAAGAGCTCTTAATATGCTGGTGGAACAAGAAGGTACTGCATCTTCTGGCTCTGGAGGTAAAAATAACGCGCAAATATGGGAGGAAGCTAAAGGAGATCAACGCCAAGAAGCTACTGTAGAACAAGTAGAAGTAGGACCCGACGACAAACAAGCACGGGTGGACAGAACCCTTTCATTAGAGGGTGAAAAGAATGGTGTGGAGTCTTCACCGGGAGGCGTTGCGAGTACCACGGGGGGTGGAAGCAGCAGTTCTACAAGTAGTACTAGCAGTTGCAGCATAATGGCTGGTAGTTGTACGCAAGGAGGAGGTCAGGAGCAGGGTGGTTCTTCCAGTAGTAGCAGCAGCAGCAGCAGCCGTAGTTCTTATCATGAATCTACAACTGTTGTAGATAGAAGGTCTGACAACGATAACAGGTGCAACAGTATCACTGACGAGAATATGGAGAACAACCATCACGTTATGAAAGACGCAAACTCTATGTGGACGACCACAAGTAATAGAAAGTGTCAGACCACTTCAAAACCGTTGTTTCCAAGATTACCCCCACGACAATCAGTAAGTGCAACTACTGAAGCAAAGCTCCGACAACTAGGAGCAGCAACAATAGCATTAGAAAACAGAAGAGAGGTAGTTCTTACTACAAATGCTAGTGGAGGAGGAGTTCATAATCAAAACGACATTACAGAATTAACCGCGGCACCTTCTTCAACAAGCACAGGGAGCATACATAAGGTTCTTCGCAGTCTGGCTGTAGCCGAAGCTACTGCTAAGTCAAGCTTGTCGCAGACTCCTGACGCCAGAAGTCCTTCTAGCCTTTCTAGGTATCCTCGGGCGCACCTGCAAGATATAAACGCACTGAGAACTTGTTATAAAGCTCTGCTTGATCAGCGCGCGGACAATTTTGTATCCCTAAAATCTTTTAGATCGAAGAACAAACTCAGCTGTCTCTTGATGGGCTGCTGTGTTCCGTGGGATACTGTTGAGTGTTCTGATGATGTTGGAATTTGATAAATGTCGACACAGATGAAAACACAAAGTAACAGATAATCGGTCTCCTGGTTCTCGTTGATGGAAGCGTCGGATGCAGATGCATGATTGTTACAAAGGTACTTATGCATAAAGTTGCAGGGGTATCGGTTGAGTCAACATATTAGGATGTCTGTTTATTTGTGTCTACTCGGTGAAACCAAACTATCGGGACGAAAACTATCGGTTAGTAGTTTTGCGAGATCGGTAGGTAGTCCTCCCGTGTACCTATCTTTCCTACCTAGAAAACGTGATGCCCTGGACCCCTCTGCTCCGTCCTACATCCACTAGCCCTACCGGATTATAGACTTCGCTTTCTAAATACTAGCTCCCTCTTGGGGCAGTGACTCAAATGAAAATCGATAGAAAGAAATCAATAAACATCTTTTGCAAAAATTAATACTATCTGCCCATCCACTACTAGTACCCATCGCGAGACAAGCAAAAAAACACTGGACGATTCTAAGCAATGTCACTTTGATACCTAGACTAAACACGGGCACTTTGTTGCCAAGAATCCGAAAAGATGGCGGAATTTGCTAAGGATAGTTTCGATGTGCCTTCGTGTGCTAAACAGCCAGAAGGGCTTAAGAAAAGCGCACCGAAATGGGGATTCGGCACATCAAAGAGATCACAGGCTCAGAAGGTAGCTCGAGGATGAGTTTGTTTGCGTTGGTTCTCTATGTAAAAATGCATTGACTTGCAGATTCTGGAGAGTAGTTAGAAGAATGGACTTCAATATAAATTTTATAGTTTTTTTTTTTGCTTGTTCGTCTTCACTACCTCAATACGCAGTCAGTCAGGGAGCAGCAATCGCACGGTTCAATCTCCTTTACGCACCTCAGGTCTACATCTCCAAGTCGCATTCAGCTGATGTTTTAGGAATGGACTCCCCTGGTCCCCTGTACGAGTACAGTAAAGACAGTACGAAATGCTATGCTTTCGGAAGAGCACCCAGACCCGGTCTCAATGCAGATTAAGGCTTGGGAGTTGACATCTCTATGCGCGTCTCTATGGCTATCTCAAGTAGGAAAGCCATAGAAATGCGAGCTAGAGATGCCAACTTTCAACCTCTAAGCAGACTCGGCTTCCTATCCGCCAACTTCGAACGACTTGCTGCAGATTCATCAACCATTGCCAGACGAATACAAGCATTGCAAAGCTGCAAGAACAAAGTTTGGAACAAGTTTGAGGGCGGCGGCAGTACTAGAGTTTCTGAGCTGTTCAATTTGAAGCGATTTTCCCCGTCTCTCTGAGGTATGCTGCAAATCTTGATTGGCTTCTCCCTTTCTATAAGGTTGAGGCTTAGGTCCAGCGGCGCTCAAAGCACTAAATAAAGCAACCGGTTAGTTTTTACCTCTAGAGATCTAGCCCTTTCAACAATTTGCAGGGGTCGTGTGAGCTGTTCAATTTGAAGCATTCCTTTACAGGATCACTCATATATCTAAAAAACAAAGCACTAATGTAACTAGGGTTCTTCCTCTTCTTGTTCGAGAATGGTATTGTACTGTACGTAAAGCAAGATGAAATTATACCAAATGTCTCAAACAATCAACAGGTCAATGCTCCCGGTCTTGAAGGCTACGGCCCTGGTGGGATATCACCGGGTCCTGCGCATTATACATCGAACTTTGGCTCAGCAAATAAGATGCCACCATCTTACACGATGTCGGCGAAAGTGAAAATTAAGGGTTTCCAGACTGCATCCTGCACTAATATCCTTCCTTCTTTTTTTCCCGCTAAGAAAGAAGTCAGGGATGTTCTGAAGAATGCAATGGCGGAACCTCTAAGAAACCAGGGGCCAGTAAATACGAAGTGAGGCCAGGACCACAGGCCTATATGCTACCAGGAGGATTAGGAGCACAGCCAAACGCTAGGAAGCCGTCGTTGCCCAATTTCAGCTTCGGTAAGGCACCGAGGTTTAAGACGAGGCAAGAAGCAGTATCTATGGCACCACCAGGAGGGGATCACGATGGACAATTGAGATTGAAGTTTCAGAGGTACTTCGATTTAGATTCCATTTTCGATCCTCAATGTGAGATGAATGCTTCTTCCGTGTTTGTTTGCTCTTCTAACTAGAAGGTACACGAAGGCTAATAAGACCTCTTTACTACTCGCAAAAAGTAGAACACAGAGGTGCCATGACATGACATTTCTTGTACTTTTTTTCAAGTTCTTCTTTCACAATGATCTTTCCTCCAGGTGTGCCAACCGCGCTGCCACATGGAAACTTGGTACTTCAACACGCGATCAACAGAGGAGACTTGCACCGGCGCTCTTACCTGAGGATACGATCACTAAGAAAGGTCCAGGAGGGCTCAAGGTGCCTGATGCTCTTATCCCTCCTCGAAAGCATGTGCTGAAGTATACGGAGATTTGAGCTCCTCAGCAGCTAGGTGCTAGGTGAGGCTCAATCTCCCTCTGAACTAAGCGGAACTTGTACTTCTTACTTAGCAGGAAAATTAAATACTAGAAACAACTAATCAATCTAGAAATGAACTGTCTGAACACTAAGAATCAACTGTCTGAACAAGGAACATTCTTCGCAACTGTTATTCTAAAAAGGCAACTTACACTTACTCGCAAGATGGAGTAGTTGAACTCTTATCTAGAATTTTTGGTCTCTCTGAAGGTTCTTTGTACTGTGGTGTGTATCAATCCTTGTATTTACCTCATAGATATTTCCCCATGATGAATCGATTTGGAAAAAACGACCCTAGTACCACACTTCCGAAATGTAGTGATGACGCGATATTAACCTTGAATGCTAGAAGAGACAAACATAACCACCCAAAAACAAAGTCACCTAGCTTCCCCTTAACGCTAGAGTCCTCGTGTTAGCTGTGGGCGGCAAAGACGCACCCGTGTTACATCGAAGAAAATGGATGTTGAAAAAGGCGCTTCAAACTGCGAAATGGATTTTTGGAAAACGGTTTCGCTCAATTGCAAAGAGCAAACTCAATAGCCTTTGCCTTGTTGTGCAATTTGCATCTGAGTTATTAACGATGTTTCCATGGGAGTAGGTAAGGGAGAGATGCAGCTTCCTAACACTAATGCTATTGGAAAAGTAGATAAACCACTAATCCAACGGGAAGGAAAACAAGGAAATGTAAACAGATCTTCCTCTACTGAGGAAGTGAAAACAAAACTGGCCGAGACCAAACATAATTCTGTCAGGAGCGTAATGCAAAGGTGGAGCGTGTTCCATCAATAGGAAATCACAACAACAATCACAAAATGCAGCTCCAAGGCTGTATCACAGCTCTCGTCACTCCCTTCACAGAGGATGACGAGGTGGACTATGAGTCTCTTGAGGCTTTGGTCGAAAAGCAGATCGCGGAAGGGGTTGACGGGCTCTTACCGGTTGGGACGACTGGGGAGTCGCCAACACTGAGTCATGAAGAACACGAAGCTGTGATCGAGTTCGTTGTGAAGACGGTAAATGCGTTTTGTGTTAAGTCTTTTGAACACGAAGCTGTGATCGAATTCGTTGTGAAGACGCTGTGCTTTTCGTCTTAAGGGGGTTCTCACCTGGTGCGGCAAGTAAGTAATATCCAATGAGGAAAATGAAAATTATCAAAGTGTTTATGTTTTCAAATTTACAGGTTCTTGTCCGCCCAACATGAACATCAAACGTCTCTCAAAGCCTCATTTTCCCACCGTGTGCAGGTAAATCACCGTGTCCCTGTTATCGCCCCAAGAACATCAAACGTTTCTCCATGCAGGTAAACCACCGCGTCCCCGTCATTGCCGGTGCCGGTTCAAACTCCACTATCGAAGCTGTGCGCCTGACCAAGCACGCGAAAGCGGTCGGCGCGGACGCAGTGTTGTCTGTCAATCCGTATTATAACAAGCCGACTCAGGAAGGACTTATGCAACACTTTGCGGAAGTGGCCAAGGTGTAATAAAACCGTGGATCTAGTATGAAGAAGACTTGGTAGATTCCATTTCTGAAAGTTTTTTAAGCCTAAGCTTTCTTGAACCGTTAGACTTGATCATTTCGTGGTATTCCTACATCGCCCAGGTCGGCATTCCCATCGTGCTTTACAACATCCCTGGACGCACAAACATCAGTATGACACCTGAAACTGTTGAGGCCCTACATGCGAGATTCCCTGAGCAGATTGTTGCTATCAAGGAAGCATCAGGCAGTCTGGATCAAGCCAGTGAGATCGCGGCGAGATGTCCGGCTGTAACCATCTTGTCTGGTGACGACAGCATTACCCTACCGTTGATGAGCATTGGGGCTCAAGGTGTCATCTCTGTTCTCGCGAATATGTATCCGAAGTTGGTCAAGGATGTAACGGAATCCGCCTTAACCGGAGACTGGGAGACGGCAAGAATCAGCCACGTGCGGAACTTCCTTTTGTAGTATGGCAGAGTAGTTCAAATTCTCAGAAAATGGCCTCGAGAACAATAAAATCCACCTTTCTAATCTCCCAAGTCTCTCTTCTGCGAACCGAACCCTTGTCCTGTGAAACTAGGGATGGCCAAATTGGGAATGATCAAGACCGCTCGTGTACGATTACCCTTGGTCGAGAGCGACCCTGTCACAGTTTGGCAGGGAAAGGTCAAGCCGGCTTTGGATAATTATGTTGTGAAAGAGGAATAGCGTGTAAAAATTGCTTCCATGATTCAGCACACATGCACGACTGTGGTCCTTCCTTCTAATATAAAGTAGCAGCGGAGACAACCCTGCATGCGCACGAGCCAGAAGCAGGAGAGTCAACCGATGTGAAACTGCTGAAAGAGAGCTCATCCTCTTCTAGTACCGCAGTAGGGTCATCCTCTAGTGCAGCGTCTTCAAGCGCCGATGAAAAAGCATGAAGTTTATGCATCCTTGGTGGAATCTTGGAATAGAACTTTGTTTGAGAATAGAACGAAGTCAGTGGGTAGCAGCACTAGGACTGGAAGTGTTGAAGTTTTGGATGTATGATTTCGGTTTGAGGATGGTGATAGAAACAAAATGATCATATTTAATCGAGATGTTGTGACGCTACGCTTTGCATCAACAAAAACACATCTATACCTTGGAATGCATACATGAACTTTAAGGGCTCGTTTTTTTTTGCTAGCATCGATGGTTGTTCTGAACAGATGTTGTCATACTGTTGTTTATGCTCATGAAGTTTCTTCAACTCTGCATGGATCGAACGATGATTTTGGAAAGGATATGAAAACTTGTTGGCATCATAAACGCACTTGTTAATGTTTCTTACAATACTGAAAACTGCGCATCGATAGAAGAATTCCAAGTACTTTTCGCATCGCCGCTCACGCACGATAGCTGCTCAAAGAGGATAGCGCCAGGCGGTATATCACTACCAGAATCTGAAACTAAGGTGAAAGCTTCGGTTGATAGCATCCACGAGCAGTTGACTCTGTCGCATTACACCTGTGCCGTGTGAACCAAAGAGAGCGCATGCTTGGTCTGTTCCTTGTCCGAGAGACGTTTTACTTCTGAAACTGAGTTTTGCCATTAGTACCCAACAAGAATCTGTGCGTTCCCAAAAAATCGGTGAAGACTTTGTCTCTCTCTCTCTTTTTCTTTGCTTTTGTTTGCTTTGTTGAAGTAGTTCATTTTTGGATTGGTCACTGACTACTTGAGGCCGCTGGCTACTTGATGCTGACTAGTACTTGAGCTTTTTAACTTAGGGTCGTTGTCCTTGAGGCTGACTAGTACTTGAGCTTTTTAACTTAGGGTCGTTGTCCTGAAAGAGTGCTTAGACAAATATCTCTAGATAGCTGGCTCTTCTTCTTGAAGTTGCATGAACAGCGTTGTACTCAACTTAACTCTTTGAGTAACTGAAATACAGCACAGCAACATCTTTATCAAACTTTCACATCTAAACGTACTTGAACATCTTCTACACGTACTACTCATATCAAACGCCCAAAGGCACAACATCAAGATTGTGAAGGTATAAGATCACTGACCAAATAGAATATGCATGCGATCTTTATGACCGAGATCCCATGAAGTTCGCGATCCGGACAAAGTGAGCCATGAAGTTCGGATTTTTCCAGCTCTCCTCCGAACAAGTGAAGAAGCGAGAGGAACTGAGTTTGTTTTCTCGGGTTGGGGAGGAGCCAGCGAGTTTTTTGGAGAGTTCGGATCACTGTCAAAATGACGTCTCGCCCTTCTCCGCCTACGTCTCCACAAGTGCGAGACACGCAGTTATCTATCGCCACTAACTCGCAGTCGCTTCTCGCCGTCCCTGCAGGCACGCGTGGGTCTCCTGGTGGGCGACGGCGTAGCCCTAGCAACGGAAGCAATCGATCGGGTAGTAACCGGTCGAGCTTGGTTATGTTAAAAGTTGAAGTGTTTAGATTTTCTTTACTCAAAAGTTCTAGTACGTAGTAGAAATGTTGTCACATCAGCTTACTCGTCTAGTAACCATGTATACTTCACTGAATAGTACATTCACTGAATACATAGTACAGATAGCAGCATTTTCCTAACATCCCTTCATCTCGCTCTCCTCCGACGGTGGTGCCAGTTGCGATAAATCAGTGGTTTCCGGTGTATCTGGTGAAGGCGGTGATGATGGAGAGAGCTACAACAATTTTGGCGTTGAAGACAGCGAGAGTCGCACAGCCGAAGATAGTGGCAGCATACACGGAGATGGAAAGATGCCTCAAACACCTTCTAGTGTGCGCTCTCAAAGGGCACAGAGTAAAGAGTCGTTTTTGAGTCACCACGGGATTTTTGGGACAGCGACGGCGGAAAGTGAGGATGATGGGCAAAATGGGGTGGTTCTTATGGTTGAGTGTCATAGGTCTAAAACTAAAAGTTCCAGTTCTTGGGATAATGGTGAGGATTCCAACCCAATGACTTCTACTGACTGCATTATGCTCTAATACTTGTGTAGCACAAGAACGTGTTCATACTTAAATTAAATGCTAACCTAACATTGCCTGTATTTCTCGGCTCTTATCTCTTGCTTGCCATTCATTGTGGTCTAATAGCACCAATAAGCAAGAACATCAGCAAGCGGCCTCCTCTACCACACGACCAGAGGACATCAAAGACACTGACAGGAGCGGGCAAAGACACACGAGTAAGGGACCTCTGCTCCTGTCAAAAACCGAAGAATCTGAGGTTGTAGCAAGAGAACAGGACCGGTACAAGGATCACTTTGGAGCAGAAACTCTAGTGTCAGGAGGTCGTCGAAGTGAGGGCATGCACTCGCCAAGTAGAGGTGGGAGGCATCATAGGGATGGACAGCAAATGCGACGAGCTAGTTCGGGTACTGTGGGTGATAGCGGGTTTTTAGAGGATCTGCATCGGAATCGGAAGGGGTCGGCGTCATCGTTGCCCGATAACGGAGAGCAGAGTGGCGGAACTGTGAGGAGTATGGCGGAACTGTGAAGTGTCTTGCTTTTGCATTTCATAAAACACGAACAAACTAGTTAGAGACGTGCCGTTTAACAATGAATTGATTCATCCTTGTACACAGAGGTGAGCATCGACGGCCCTTTCCCTCTTTCATCGCCAGCCTCAACAGCGTGGGCAGTCTCCAAGCTGTTCGAGGCTCTTATCATCGGCAAGGCAGCACCAACAGCGTTTACAGCTACCACCGGCCACAAGGTAGTACTACTAGCAGCACACATATGACAGGCAGTTTGATGAATTCTGGTTCGTGGTACTTGGGGGGAGTTGGGCGTGGTAGTGCAGCTAGTATGGCGTCATGGAGTGGCAGATTGGATGGGGCACCGGATGCAAGCCCAAGGAGCAGTGTCGGATTAAACAATGGGGGACGTGCGTCGTCGCCTCGTTCGGGGAGGGGCGTGAGGACTTATGAAATGAGTGTGTGCAGCTAGTGCGTTCCGTCGATGAATCTGAAAGATAGAGACCACTTTCATCGCATGTCGTGGCAACCATATCACCTCTAAAACGCCAGCAACGGTTCTGATCCTCCCATCCAAGGCCATCGCCAACATCAGCCTCACGCACCAATCAGCCCATCTAGAGGACGACAAAACAGTGAACGACAGCGTACCATAGAATCCAGTATAGGTGTCGGGTCGTACGGTATAGATGGTATTGACGCTTTCTTCGGTGACGTGCCAGTGGCCAGTTTGAACCCGGTTAGGGAGGACGACTCGGATGGGAATGATGGATTTGAAGTAGGAGAGCTGCGACAACATAATTATGAGTAATATTCTTTTGGGACGATGCAGCAGTTCTGCAGTGTACTATTTAACTTTATTCGCGCAGAGATAAAGATTTTCGTTGAATTATCTTCAGAGATGAATCAATATCAAGGTTCTTCAAACCACTTTACTTCGGCCCATTTAGAGCTGCAAATCCCCCTTTCATTCCTCCAAAGTCTACATCCCTTCCGCGAGTTGGGGCTTGCGGTCTATGCGGTCATCTGCTGGACTGCGATCCATTGCTAGTATGGATTTAGGCTCACCTGGTGTGCAGAGTGTGGATATTCGACAACCGAAAAGTTATGCATTTAAAGAAGGCAGTTGTGGGCGACTTTAGGTTCTTCCCTAACAGCCTATGAGATTGTGTAAGCTTACAGATCAGGAAACCCCCTTTGTCGAGAAACCTTCCCAACGTCTCTAAGCCCAAGCCACTCGTTCCCGCTTAGGCGTCGACAAAAACGCCAGTAATGGCCCACGCGGAGAGGAATATGGTGACGCTATGGACGAGTTGTATGAGATGAGCAGTCTAGCTGCGTCCATGGACCTCTGGACCTACGGCGGTCGTTCCGATTTCTTCATCTGGCATCCTGACAGAGAGGAGATGCAGATGGTCCGTGGTCCAGGACAACAACAACAGCAACTGGGTCCACCACTAGGTCGCCAAGGACAGGGTCGTGAGCGTAGCACTTTCCTTGGTGAATCCCTCACTATGCGCCGGTCTCAAAGTTGGGACGACTATTCGCTCATCTCAACTCCTTATGGCAGTGCAGCATTGGGTAGGGGATCGATAGGCTTCTGGAACGCCACTTTTGAGGAGCCAGAAGACATCCAGGCGTTCGACTTTCAGTATTCGAGTGCGGACAGAACATTTATGGCTTTTTTTTTGAGATCCATCATTAGAAGTATCGACCTTGGAGACAGACGTTTTCAAGGGATGAAACGGTTTCAAGGTTGCAGGATGGTCTTCAAAATCGACGGATTATGGTGAGCTCTAAATAAACCTCAAGTAATATTAGTATCAGCAGTAATGCTCCCATGAGTTCATGGAACACGTCAGGGACAGCGACATTCGGTATGGCAGGTGCGAATACCTTGTTGAGTGGCGTTCATGGCGTGGCACCGAGTCCAGCGAGGTCAGGGTGCTCGTCGTTGGATTTGATGGATGCGGCAGTTAGGAGTAGCATGTTGAAACAAGCGGCGCAGTCGAAAGGCGGGATCGCTGGAGGTGAACAAGTGCACGGGAAGTTTGTTGATGGAGTAGGAGGCGTAGGAGGTGGGCAAGAGATCATTAAGCAAGGTGTTTCATCTGAAGTTGAACAAGGTACAACTAGAGAGCAAAACGTTGTTGAGAAAGATGTTATCAAGGACACTGCAGCACCAGCACAGCAACCACCACCAACGACAGCAACCAGGAAGAGAACAAAGACCTTGAAGGAAAAACGACCAGAGGAGTATTACCAAGCAGACCTGGACGTTGACATTCCTGGACAAGGACAACAAACGAGAAAAAAAAGTTTGGTCTTTGATCCTCATGGCGGCCACGGCACAGAAGAAGCGCGGAAGGAATTGGCGGAAGTCAGGCGTCATAGTTTGCACACTACAAGCCTCGACCCCCTTCTCCTTCAGGAGCGGGAAGAAGCTGCCAGAACCGCGGTAACTCCAGAAGCCCAGAAACGGCGCACCCGACTTCTATCTGATGCTTTCATGACGCCCTACGATGTTACTGGAGGAAGTGCTGGTTCTGCAGGACAAAATGTTGGGGGTGGATCTCTCTTGTTGTTGCTGCAAAGTGGTGGAGGAAGAAAAGATGAGACTTCTAGCACTTGTAAAGGAAGAACAGGAGGAACATCAAAAGAAAACCCAAGCAGGTCGTCTGGTAACGATGTGCAGATCCCTGTAGATGGCAACGTGGGAGCTTCAAACATCGACTCAGAGGACGTCGGACCACGATCTCCTAGTAGCGCCAACGCTAGGCCGGCATCATCCAAGAAGGAGACTTCAGGAGCACGTAATAAACGCGGATCTACCTCCTCATCCAGCACGACAGGAGTTCCACGGGTTCCAAATGGCGCTTCCAACAACTCCACGACAAGCTCACCTAGGATTCGGACCTTGCAGCAAGTGAAGAGCGAATTACTGGATGCTTCCGCTGAAATGTTGAGCTCGCGAAGGGCTTCTTCGCGACGTGGTAGTGTGGTGGACCTCGGTGCGTCCGTAGCAGCTACTGGACTGTGTTTACGGGACAACCTTGGGAAATTCGAGTTGCACACGGGTGTTTTGAGACCTAAAGTTATAAGGCTCTCCCTAATCCATCTTCCGAAGCATCTTGGAGGACCTGCATAATAAGGGGAAAGAAGCTCCAAGATGTAAATACCAGAATGGATTTGGGTACTTAAGGTCTAATAGAATCAGCAGAACCAAGTTATTAGCTGCGAAGAACAACCTAGCAGCTTCCCGGACTGGAGGAGGGGCTGGGTCCTCGAGTACTACCCGGGATGTGGATCGACGCATATCTACTGCTTCGATCCGGAGTGATGCGGTATTTGCTAACGATAACGATATCGATCAAGAGGACAACTACATTGGTCTTGGTGGTAAAGGCAGTGCAGACACACTCCTGTTGGACGACTTTGAAGACGAGTGTCTCCCGGAATTCTGGGATCCCTACTCTTTCCGCGGACAGCGAGAACTGATGAAAATTCGCGGAAGACGTTGTAGACGGAGGGTGCAGAAGATGTGGATGAAAGCGCAACAGGGAACACTTTTCGTTCTACCTGACAGTTTCGCCAGACGTTTTCCGTTGCCTTACAACGGCCGAACCTGGAAAATACTGGAGATTCTGCTCGTTGCTATCAGTTTTTGGACACTGTTGTGGGTACCGTTTTATTTCGCTGGATTCGCTTCGGTACTAGACGCCGAGGATGCCAGTGCATTTTTGGCCAGTGCGGCAGCGGGAGTGGACTTGATTACGATTTTACTACAGCATAGTATTACACATTATAAAACAAGTACTTACTCATCTTCAGATACTTAGCAAATTAATTAATTGTTGTAACTACGTCTCTATTAACCTATGGGAAGCAAATTAATACTGTTCTTGTAACTACGTCTCTATTAAGTTAATACTGTAACGTCTCTAGTATCAACCTATGTATCCCTGATGTAGTTCTAATCCACGCTCCGCCAAACCTGTCCGAGACGCCCTAGTTGTTTTCGATGTTTTCGCTCATGCCGCTTACTTCTGCGTCTCTGTGCTGTTGCGTCTGGTGACGACAAGGGCAGATTTTCGTGAAGGTATCGAACTGATGGAATACAAGGACATTCGTGCAGCTTTATTGGCGAATAAAGGATTTTATCTGGATCTGCTGACGGTTGTCCCTTGGCTGTACATCAACGGAAGTGGTGCTTGGGCTCCAATGCGTACGTTGTTTTGCCTTCTGACCATGGCAATTCGCGGTGGCCGACACCTAATCGAGATCCCAGCCGCTTGGTCGCAGTATCTGATGTGTTTCGTGCATAACTCCATCAGTTATGGGATCGAAATTTTTCGCGTGATTGTTTGGTTCTTTCTGCTTTCGCATATGCTAGGCTGCTATTGGTGGCACGTACAGAACTTGGGCAACACAGTGTTGTTGCACATCGCGACGATTCAGAAACCTACAGTATGGACGTTCTATTTGCAAGCTTTCAAGGATGGCGCCTACATGCTCATGGCCAGGGACCGAAAAGCATTCACAAACGAAGAAATTGCGGTTCTAGGTCTTTCGGCCCCAAGTTCTGCGTTCTTCATCATCTTCATGACGGGTCATTTCGCTGTTTTACTACAGAGAATCGGATCGATGCGGTCGCAAAGTTAAGGTCTTAACGAGAAGTGGAGAGTAGTAGTAGTAGTCTAACACCTCAAGAATAGGTACAATCATCATCATCATCATCAAGGTCAACGGTTAGTGTCCATTTTTCTCGGCATCTCGGTACTACCCTTTTGCGTTGTACAACTATTCTCATGAAATACAACAAGGCACAAAAAGGGATCCCAAAAAAAGGGGGGTTAAGGAGATGATGCAATGTAGCAGAGACTCTAACAAAGACACGAACAACTACAGCTAAAAAGGGGAGTTACTTCAGTAGATGCAATGTAGCAGAGACTCTAAGAAAGACACGAACAACTCCAGCTGATCCGATCGGCGATGGATCGTCACGGACTGCCGTTTGAGTTGCGCCACCGCGTCCTGCAGTTCCACCTCTACGCCTACATGAATCATGACCAGCACACGTACAACCAACTTTTGTCTGCGTCCATGAGCACGAATCTGAAGGTGGAGATCAAGCTGTGGATCTTTCGGGGGTTGATTCGACACGTGCCGTTCTTCCAAGATGCCAGTCCGAAGGCAATTAAAGCTTTGGTAATGAACCTGACCATCATGAATTTTTCGCCTGGGGACGTGGTAATCCGATGTGGCGATACGAGTTCGGAGATGTACTTCATTTTGAAGGTTATGAAAAGGGGAAGTTATCTGAAGAAAAGGTCGTCCCTTTCTGCTCTTCTCTAAGTCTAAAAATTGTGAAGAAAAGGTCGTCCCTTTCATCTCTTCTCTGTAACTCTTTCTTATGAAAAGGTCGTCCCTTTCATCTCTTCTCTAAGTCTAACTCTTGGGGTTCTTATGCAAAGGTCGTCCCTTTCATCTCTTCTCTAAGTCTAACTCTTTCTTTCCCTTCTTTCCTCTAACGGAAGCGGCTGCCAAGTCTTACGCGCGACCGACTTGAGTGTGATCAAAACACTGAGAGAGCACGACTATTTCGGCGAATTCGCATTGCTGTACAAAACTCCGCGTCGCAGAACAGCCTGGGTCCGGGCCCAGGTCTACTGTACACTCGCTATTCTGTCTGCTGGTGCTTTCAACAGCATTTTGGCAGAGTTCCCCGAACAACGCGAGCTGATGCGGGAGAAGATCAAGAAAGTTTTGTCCTCCAGCGGTCAGTGGAGCAAGTCTGGTGCGCAACAACACCCTTTGGCTGGAATGAGGAAGAAGTCCTTTGAAAGTTTTGACAACGTTTTTGGCGTTAACGAGAGCAACAAAAGCAAGGGACAGACTTCTAGTTCGAGGAGTAGTATCAAAAAGGATACTTCCTCAGGCGTTGGTGGCGGTGGATCTGCTCAGAATAAGAAATCCTCCAGTTCAACACGACGTAGGCGGAGTGAAGATTCAGCGACGTCTGGGCCATCGTCAAAGGAGCTGCCACAACATCAAAATGGAACATCAACACCAGCTTCTTCTACACGTCGTGGAGGTGAGCAGAAGAGAGTAGAGGCGACAGTCAACATTGTTCAGCCATCTCCAAGTGCTGGTGTTCAGCGTCCACTAGGTCTTGCGAGTAACTCCTCTAACATCATGGGTGTATGCGCAGGTGTAGTGACTGATCACAAGGATAAGGTAGGTGATGCAGCAACCGCAGAAGCGATGAATGCTCTCCTGAAGGTTTCAGAGGGATCAAATAGCACACCTCGTGCAGTCCCTCTAGAAGTGGGAGTGGGTCGTGGTCCGACGAGTGTACCGCAGCAGAATGATCAAATGGTTGTCCCAAATGGTGTAGGTAACATGAACGCTACTGCTCCTACAAATCCCTATGCTGGTACAAACGTAGCAGGACCCCGAGAACCATGTAGTGCTATTCTTCCTGGACAACTGCATCAGCCTCAAGGCTCTCTTCAAAACAAGCAACAAATGCAGCAACAGCATCAACACCAGCTTCCGTCCATCCTCCCTGTTCATCAGCATCAGGACAACAGCACGAATATCCTTAGTCCTGACCCTTTCAGTCCTGGAGGAGCTAACAACTCTCGCATCTATGGTAACAGTCCTGGCGGTTTGGAATCTGAAAAGAACGACGACCTGTGGGAGTGCACCGTGAATACAGAAGCCCATTTCTTAAGGGTTTCCGAATTACATCCTTGTGACGCTTTTCCTAGTAGAATGAAGCTAGGGAAGATGTTGTCAGGAATGGAACTCCGTAACCTCTAAATTTCGTGGCTCAATTAGCCCAAGCAAACAAGGACTTAGCCAATATGTTACCTGGAATGTTGGAAGAGGAGGGATCTGGTAGTCGGGAAGTTGCTGTGGCTCCTCCTGAGACGCCTTCTTTTAAGGGTTCTGGTTAGCACCAGATTGCTGCATTCTTCACGGGTAACCCTGCTTGAGTTTTTTTCCAGTAGGAAAGGCGTCAGGGATGATCTGAAGAGTGCAATCGCGCAGCCTCTAAGAACTCCTCTCCTCGTCGTTGCTCAATCCAGGAGAGCAGGGAAGGTCCACGACAGTCACCCATTTCAGCCAATGCGACTACTCCAACATCCACTTCTAACAAGAATAGCCGTCTAGTTATAGATTAAGGGTAGGTCGTTAAAGGTGCTTTTGTTACCGTTTGTTGTGGCAGCTCTCTCCCTTAGGTGGGGACAGCCATAACAAGCGGGAGAACCCACGAACACCAAAAACCTCCCTCTAAATAGAAGTTCATGGAGGCGCAGGCAGTGCAGGGACTGCAGGGACTTGTAGACCTCCTAGTCCACGACCGATTGGAGCTGGGTCATTTCTGAAAACGTTGATTGCGATGCCAGCAAGGTTGACCCCGAGAGCGTCGAAGGAGAAGTCGGCAGCGATGGAGGAGGAAGGGAAAGAATTAGACCTAGCCGATCCCCTTCGTGCTGAAGGTGGTGATGCTGCTGCTTTGTTGGACCAAGCAGATAGTCACGCACAATTAAGGCTTGAGAAAATTCATTTCCAGTCCTCTTCTGTTTCCTACTTTGGAGTCTGAAGAAATGAACAAAGAAATGAATGGCTTTAAGCTCTAATACAACAACAGTCTGCATCCCATTGGCGTGGCGGTGAAGGTGGAAGACGGGAACGTAGTAAAAGAGGACAAAAGTCGTCTTCTAGGGTCGATGCTGATGCTGATCTCTCGTCTACTAGTTCCTCAAAAGAGCGATCTTCTAAGGAAAGACGTAAGAGTGGCAATAGTACGTCGTCTAAAGGTGGGGGGACGGGGACCAATTCCTCCTCAACATCCAAGGAAAAAGCGAATAGTACTGAGGACACTCCTGGTCATGTTCATGACGTTGGGGACACGAAAAAAGTGTTAAGGCTCAAAAATACAATTCATTTCTACAACAACTCACTTTTCTCTGTTTTCTTCCTGAAATCGTGAGAAAATGAACCCGAGAAATGAATTGCTTGGGCTCTAAGAGTGCGTCAGATTCACCGCGTGCACCGTGCGAACAGCATCGATTTGGTGAACTATTACTTGCACAATGTCGGTGATTTGCATACTACGAATCTAGGAGGAGGAAGTGGGGCGTCTGGCTTGCCACCGAAAGGGTCACTCTTAACTGGTGACCGACCGTCCTTTGAAGAAGAAGATGGCATGAACATTCTTGGAAGAAACAACCACTATATCATGAATGCAGCTCTTCCTTCAAAGAATCAAGCACCATACGCTGGAATGCAGCAAGAACGGGCGCTACAGAGGATGATGGAGCACATGCTAGGAGGCTTTCGAGAGCAGATAGTAGCGGATGTGCAACGAGTGATGGCAGAAAATCGTGCGGAATAATTAAATACATTTTACAGTAAGCAGCAAAGAAACAACACGCACACTGGAACAACAAGACTAATTCTCGTCGCAGCATGGTACTCAAAATTTGAAATTTAGACGAAGGTACATGCCAGAGACATTATGATTCGAAGTATTTGATTCAGTATTCCTTGACCACTTTTTGATTTAAATTACTAGGATATAATCTCAATCTCTTAAGAAAGAAATGACATAAACTCGCGTGATACAACGAACACATCAATGAACATGGATTGAAGAATCTGGACGCTATTCTTTCACAACGACACGCGATAGCTTCTCTCTTGTGCATGATATGATTCAGCGATTAGAAACGAAGTACTCTATTTAAAGTACATTAACATAACAGCAAGCAAACCAGAAAGCACAAACTGAATCACAGGCTTCGCCTTTCCGTATCAAGTCAACTGCGTATCTGCATAGATAGTATAGACAAGTCACAGTGTCAAAAGAAGTATCTGCATAGTAAGTTTTCAAAGTGAGAATGACGTAAAAAAGTAAGAGGAACAAATACACTTGTGAAGAACTAAGCACACCTATTTGTGCAGCGATATTCTTACGACGAAAAATGCACCCCTGGCACACTCCGATTCAAAATTTCCCAGAGCTGAAAACACAAGTTACCATACAAGCAGCCACAGTGCAGTAATAGCCAAAATGCAGTTCGAGAAAGTGAGCTGCAAAGTACTTTGACATATGATCTATCATGCATACATGCTAATGTTTCGTTTAGAAGTAGAAAATACTAATGCACTGGTATCATAGTCGAACAAGATGATCCCAATATGAGCCTTCTCTTCCTCGTAGCAAATAACATGTAACTGTGACAGTATTTTTACCAAGCCATGATAATAACATTTTTGAGTAGGTTATCAAGACGAGTTATTTGCCACAAACAGTCAACGTGCTGCCGAGCGCTGGGCCCTTCGATGTGTTTTGAGAGCGCCGAGTTACGACGGGCAAAAGAGTACTACGAGTAGGAACGAAAATTTCAACGAACAATGTCATTGTGCGTTATGTAGTTCAACGATGAATGTCATTGCGCGTCATATTGAGCGTGAGTTAATGTCATTGCGCGTTACAATTGAACTTGAGTGATGCTGCTATCTGTTGAGGTGAGCGATGCTGCCATCTGTTGAGGTGACTGATTGACGCTGTCTGGAACCTGTTGTGTGGTGATGTGAAGCTCTCAATTGAAGGCTTCTTGGAGTTGAATTCTCCACGAGAGTTTCATCGGAGTGTCTCTCTATCTGTGCGTGTTATTTTCGCCCCATGTACTAATGAATTTCCAGTGCCCTAGGGCCCTTTTGATATAATGAAGATCGCCCGGAACACCTTACCTCATGCGTAGAAAAGGAGCATAAGTAATCCCTTTGATATATCAATAGTTACTTTTATGATATCTGCTAGAGAACATGTACAAGTACAGTAATCGGAAATCATTGAATCGCTTCCATATCCTATCATCCCCGCTTTCTAGGTAGTTGTTCAAGAAATTGACATTCTACTTGTTTTTGGTGAATCGAAGACACGACAGCAACAGCTTAAATCTGCTTGACATTCTGCTTGTTTTTGTTGAATCGAAGACACGACAGCAACAGTTTTCCTATTTCTGGCTTTCTGAATTGGGAAAAGCATGTCATTGATCTACTGCTGACTACAACTCTACTTGTAGCTCAAAATGAAAAACTAGCATCTACTGATATTTTTACTTCCATCCAATGCTAATGCGAGATTTGTTTTTAGGATAATAAATTCCAAAATGTTGAGTTCGACTCCATCAAGTCCCCCACAATCAGACTGCTCCCGTGGGAAACCACCGAGAGTGCGGGTTGATGTGTACATGCTTTCCGGGGAGTGCAAGAGTTTTGAGGTGGAAGGTAAAGTCTCTACGAAAGCAGGGTCGTCATGGTTCTTCGTCACGTCACTTGACGATCTAAAGGGACGGATCGAAGAAGCGACGTGGGTGCACCGCGAGCAGCAACTGATTCTTGATATATGGATGAGAAGTCTGTTCTTTCTTGTTTTTCGTATCCTAATGTTTTTAACGCAGGTGGATTAACATTTTATTTTGCGCTGGAGGATTAACATTTTATTTTGCGCTCATTCCCCCATTCTTTTTAATGCAGTCTCAGTCCTCTGTCATCAGTTTGAATGTTGTGAGCCTTCGACTTTTCACTATACGCTTATTTTTTCTCTGCAGAAAGAAAGTGGTGGAGAAAAAATACTTATACTTATAGAAAACAACTAGAACATCTTCGTTCATAGACGGACGCAGGGGAGCCAGTCGATTGTGACGAGTCAGTAAGGCGTTTGTTTAACGAAGAAACAACTACAGATGCCCCGCCAAGCTCGTCCGTTCTTTCGCTACCGTCTTCCGATACGGGCAGTTCTTCGTCGTACTGGCCTCCGGAAATTAGAAAAGGTGTCGAGCTGACGTTGTGCGTTACTACCAGAAATTCGAAAGAAGGTGAAGGACGTACAAAACGTGGTCGCAGAAGGTTGTCTGGTAGAAGGTTTAGGCTTTGTGAAATGTTGTTAGAAAACCAGGACTTCTTCAACACGAAGATAATGGATGAGGTGAAAGCTCCGACAGTGAGATTGAAGCTCTACGTGGAAGAGTTTTTCGACGAGATTTACCACACAGCGGAAATATGTTGCGGCGACGAGCAAAAAAAGAAACGTAAGGAAGACGAAAGATCGCTGGAGCGGGACAGGAGGGGTAGGGCGAATTTTTTAGAAACCGGACGTCTTGTGGCTTCGCGGGACAGGGGTAGGGCGGATTTTTTAGAAACCGGACGTCTTGTGGCTTCGTGTGAACTTGCGAATGCGTTTGAGAACGAAGACTGGACGCGGACAAAAGTATCGCTGTCTCACCTTTTGATGTGCAAGATCATCCTTATTTATGGAAGCAACTACCTAGAGTTTTCCAGCTGATGAGTAAAAACTTTGATGTAAAAATGCTTCTTTTAGAGGACTTAATCACATGGTCATGGACAATATGATCCAGAAGAAGCCGCTTCAGAAGATTTTTACGTCTAAGTGAAGCAGCCACAATCGCAGCCAGTCGACGTCTTGAGGGCGCTTGTCATGGTTCACTGGCAGATGCAGGTAAATTTGCAGGGGCTAGATGCAAAGCATGCTGACGCGCTATGCTTGTTCCAGTTCCTGCGCGGGGTTTTCACTTTGCTGCCTCGGATTGTGACCCTAGTTGAAGCCTCGGTGAAGGCACTTATTATGGCATGCTGACTCTTACCACAATTTGAGACATTTGCTAAGTATCTACTACGCGGCATAAGAGATGAAAAAGTCATGCACAGCTATTTAAGTAACTTAAATTATTTTCATGATTAACTTTCACCATTTTCAAAGTTGAGCATTCATTGACAGCGAAAGTGGGGAGAGTGGACACGAACTGACTGAAGATACTAGTACTATGCAGAAGGAGCACGACGATGCAAGGGTGGTATATTCTCCTGCTTTAGCGCCTTCTAGTGTAGCTGCCTCCTCCACCACCCCTGGTTCTGGAGGTGAAAAGAAGGATAGCTTTCTGGTAGAAATCACTTCCGGCTTCACGAAGCATCAAGTGGACAAAGCATTACCGGAGTTAGGATTGCGAGTCTTGTGTGGTGTCGTATGCTGCGTCCTCGGTTATGTCTACCATCCCAGTCGGATCGGTTATGTCCGCCATCCCAGGCTGCACTTGGGCGGTCGTCGCTACCGGCAAGGCGTATTGGGCGACGCCTTTATTTCTGCTTGTAATGGTATCGTGAGTGCGTCACGTGTGAAAAATCTAGATGGGCTTTTAAGTAGTGACGTTCTTTTTAGACCACGTTTATTTGGCACAGAGCAAGAAGATGGCGGCTTACTTTCACGACCTTTTTCACTTCTAGTGGCAACCTTTCGGAGAGTGATTATTTATTGCACGGCTTGGGACTGGGCTGAAGCGTACGAGGACCTGAGTCGGTATGTGCGTCCGAGGAGCCAGTCTAAAAAATTTGAAAAAAGTTTTTGGAGGAAAGATTCCTCCAACGGAAGGCCGTTAGATGAACTATTGCCAGGGCATTATCATTACGGTCACCTTTCGCTCGTTTAGAACCCATACCCATCTGTCGGAGCTTCTAAGGCACTGCTTGGAGACGGTTACTTTGTTAAGACAAAGATTAGCGTGGTGGAAACGGTTCTTTCCGCTTGGGAGCGGTTGGCAGGTTCTTCAGGATGGGCTCTGGGTTCCAAAAGAGATTGTGGGCCTTTCTAATATTGACGCTTCTTTTTGATGGACCACGTCGATAGCCTTACCACTCCATTTGAGTATGACACAGGCAAGGGCTTGCTGTATCGCGATATTTTGCCTGGTGTGGATGCGAAAGGACTCCATCACGATGTCCTTGCTGCTATTCTGAAGATCTTGGGCGGAGCAAGTTGGACGAGAACAGAGGAGGAGAGCCGGCAAGTGCTTTCGTTTTTTGTTGAAGTTTTGCATGCGTACAATGTATGGCTACAAAGAAACCTTGGTCCCTCACAAAGAAGTTCTGACCTACTGTCGTGGTGCCGCTTGGGGTACCTCTGATAAGTAATGATGAAACCACGACAGGACTAGATTCAGACGCGACAGAAGATCAAGGAATTTTTTTTTACCATTCTCTTTTTCATACAATTTTGAACCGGTGACATTTGAATCGTCGTGGCTCCCAAGAAATATGTCTCGTCGAGATGTGGGAGCAGGGCTAGCGGTGTCTTCCGTGACGTGTGCCCTCTTGGGCGAAATAATGCGTGCTTTAGGACCTCATTGCCTCCTGGACGAAAGAGGGCAAGGACTACTTGAAAAAGAAGAGGAAGGGCAACAAGACGAAGAAGAAATGATCGCCAATGAAGAGGACAAGATCACATTAAACGAAGAGCCTTTACTCCATAAGCCTACCTCAGTTGATCGCGCGACACAGGACGAAGGAAAAGTAGACGAAAATGCCGCAAAATTTCTACGGAGCAAACTATGCCGAGAAGAGGCGTCCATCAGAGCCCTGCTGCACATCATACATGATTGTGAAACCGTTTCTAACAGTGCTACAACAAGCGGGAGAGACCAAAAAGCTTTGGCTTGCGCTCGAACCTGCCAGCAGCGCGCGAGCGTTATTTTGCGTCATGTTCTTTGCTTTGGAGGAGAAGAAAAGGGCGAAGGGGGTGGAGGAAGTGACCGAGCGCTAGCGTGGAAGTGCCTGGTGAAGGTTTGCGTACGCGACGGGGCTTTCTTTTGTATTAACAGTGTGCGGCGCGCTTTTAGGAAGTTTTTTTGGAGTCGGTACTGCATTCCCTACGTGACAGGGCTCATTGGCATACTCGTCGTTTTCGTCATCTTGGCCTTCTTTTTGCCTCTTGGGTTTACTTTTGTCTTCTTCGGTGAGCTTTTTGGGTTCGGTTCGGAGGAGGGTACAGTGAGCCTCAGTCGTGCCACCACCTTCATCCGAGACATCCCGATCGCCTGGAGGAGATGCACCGGGGACCTGTGGCACAGCTACAAATTACGAGCTTCGACATCACATCCTTCACTGACATGCTTGACCTCGGTCCAAGTGCTGCAAAATCGGTCAAGAATGTTGTGAAGAGTGTAATGCTGTAACCTTTAAACAGAGAGACTTACCCTTACGATATTAATTGTTGGCGCGGCTTCTATAGAGCCCGCACACCCATTCTGGGTTATGAGGCGGTCGTCAGCATCGAAGGCGAGGATTGGCCAGGAAGCGGGCGCTTTGTCGCAGGAACCTTTTTTCGATTGTGGCGGACGTGGAAATCCAGTCAAAAATTCGAAAAAAATTCGGACACTCCACCTTGTCCTCCTCTGGTATACATCATTTCAAACAGCATATCCATTTCGTCGTTTGCCACTCCCACCGCGCTTCTGGCTCTACTACTGGGGCCGCTGTGCCTCTACGTGACGCAGTTTTCATTTTTCGAAAATATTGTAGTGCTACTAGTGTGGTCTTGCTTTAAGCAGTGCTCTCATAGATTTTTCTGACGAAGAATTCATCGATGCGTTAGACGTCATCCATGTGCTCGCGGTACCCGACAAGATCTTTCAATATCTACTTCTTGGGAGGAGGAAGGGAAAGAAGTAGACCTAGCCGATCCCCTTCGTGCTGAAGGTGGTGATGCTGCTGCTTTGTTGGACCAAGCAGATAATCGACAACAGTCTTCATCCCATTGGCGTGACGGGGAAGGTGGAAGACAACGAGGAAAAAAGGCCACTTCTTCTAGGGATGATGCTGATGCTGATCTCTCGTCTACTAGTTCCTCAAAAGAGCGATCTTCTAAGGAAAGACGTAAGAGTGGCAATAGTACGTCGTCTAAAGGTGGTGGGACGGGGACCAATTCCTCCTCAACATCCAAGGAAAAAGCGAATAGTACTGAGGACACTCCTGGTCATGTTCATGACGTTGGGGACACGAAAAAAGTGTTAAGGCTCAAAAATACAATTCATTTCTACAACAACTCACTTTTCTCTGTTTTCTTCCTGAAATCGTGAGAAAATGAACCCGAGAAATGAATTGCTTGGGCTCTAAGAGTGCGTCAGATTCACCGCGTGCACCGTGCGAACAGCATCGATTTGGTGAACTATTACTTGCACAATGTCGGTGATTTGCATACTACGAATCTAGGAGGAGGAAGTGGGGCGTCTGGCTTGCCACCGAAAGGGTCACTCTTAACTGGTGACCGACCGTCCTTTGAAGAAGAAGATGGCATGAACATTCTTGGAAGAAACAACCACTATATCATGAATGCAGCTCTTCCTTCAAAGAATCAAGCACCATACGCTGGAATGCAGCAAGAACGGGCGCTACAGAGGATGATGGAGCACATGCTAGGAGGCTTTCGAGAGCAGATAGTAGCGGATGTGCAACGAGTGATGGCAGAAAATCGTGCGGAATAATTAAATACATTTTACAGTAAGCAGCAAAGAAACAACACGCACACTGGAACAACAAGACTAATTCTCGTCGCAGCATGGTACTCAAAATTTGAAATTTAGACGAAGGTACATGCCAGAGACATTATGATTCGAAGTATTTGATTCAGTATTCCTTGACCACTTTTTGATTTAAATTACTAGGATATAATCTCAATCTCTTAAGAAAGAAATGACATAAACTCGCGTGATACAACGAACACATCAATGAACATGGATTGAAGAATCTGGACGCTATTCTTTCACAACGACACGCGATAGCTTCTCTCTTGTGCATGATATGATTCAGCGATTAGAAACGAAGTACTCTATTTAAAGTACATTAACATAACAGCAAGCAAACCAGAAAGCACAAACTGAATCACAGGCTTCGCCTTTCCGTATCAAGTCAACTGCGTATCTGCATAGATAGTATAGACAAGTCACAGTGTCAAAAGAAGTATCTGCATAGTAAGTTTTCAAAGTGAGAATGACGTAAAAAAGTAAGAGGAACAAATACACTTGTGAAGAACTAAGCACACCTATTTGTGCAGCGATATTCTTACGACGAAAAATGCACCCCTGGCACACTCCGATTCAAAATTTCCCAGAGCTGAAAACACAAGTTACCATACAAGCAGCCACAGTGCAGTAATAGCCAAAATGCAGTTCGAGAAAGTGAGCTGCAAAGTACTTTGACATATGATCTATCATGCATACATGCTAATGTTTCGTTTAGAAGTAGAAAATACTAATGCACTGGTATCATAGTCGAACAAGATGATCCCAATATGAGCCTTCTCTTCCTCGTAGCAAATAACATGTAACTGTGACAGTATTTTTACCAAGCCATGATAATAACATTTTTGAGTAGGTTATCAAGACGAGTTATTTGCCACAAACAGTCAACGTGCTGCCGAGCGCTGGGCCCTTCGATGTGTTTTGAGAGCGCCGAGTTACGACGGGCAAAAGAGTACTACGAGTAGGAACGAAAATTTCAACGAACAATGTCATTGTGCGTTATGTAGTTCAACGATGAATGTCATTGCGCGTCATATTGAGCGTGAGTTAATGTCATTGCGCGTTACAATTGAACTTGAGTGATGCTGCTATCTGTTGAGGTGAGCGATGCTGCCATCTGTTGAGGTGACTGATTGACGCTGTCTGGAACCTGTTGTGTGGTGATGTGAAGCTCTCAATTGAAGGCTTCTTGGAGTTGAATTCTCCACGAGAGTTTCATCGGAGTGTCTCTCTATCTGTGCGTGTTATTTTCGCCCCATGTACTAATGAATTTCCAGTGCCCTAGGGCCCTTTTGATATAATGAAGATCGCCCGGAACACCTTACCTCATGCGTAGAAAAGGAGCATAAGTAATCCCTTTGATATATCAATAGTTACTTTTATGATATCTGCTAGAGAACATGTACAAGTACAGTAATCGGAAATCATTGAATCGCTTCCATATCCTATCATCCCCGCTTTCTAGGTAGTTGTTCAAGAAATTGACATTCTACTTGTTTTTGGTGAATCGAAGACACGACAGCAACAGCTTAAATCTGCTTGACATTCTGCTTGTTTTTGTTGAATCGAAGACACGACAGCAACAGTTTTCCTATTTCTGGCTTTCTGAATTGGGAAAAGCATGTCATTGATCTACTGCTGACTACAACTCTACTTGTAGCTCAAAATGAAAAACTAGCATCTACTGATATTTTTACTTCCATCCAATGCTAATGCGAGATTTGTTTTTAGGATAATAAATTCCAAAATGTTGAGTTCGACTCCATCAAGTCCCCCACAATCAGACTGCTCCCGTGGGAAACCACCGAGAGTGCGGGTTGATGTGTACATGCTTTCCGGGGAGTGCAAGAGTTTTGAGGTGGAAGGTAAAGTCTCTACGAAAGCAGGGTCGTCATGGTTCTTCGTCACGTCACTTGACGATCTAAAGGGACGGATCGAAGAAGCGACGTGGGTGCACCGCGAGCAGCAACTGATTCTTGATATATGGATGAGAAGTCTGTTCTTTCTTGTTTTTCGTATCCTAATGTTTTTAACGCAGGTGGATTAACATTTTATTTTGCGCTGGAGGATTAACATTTTATTTTGCGCTCATTCCCCCATTCTTTTTAATGCAGTCTCAGTCCTCTGTCATCAGTTTGAATGTTGTGAGCCTTCGACTTTTCACTATACGCTTATTTTTTCTCTGCAGAAAGAAAGTGGTGGAGAAAAAATACTTATACTTATAGAAAACAACTAGAACATCTTCGTTCATAGACGGACGCAGGGGAGCCAGTCGATTGTGACGAGTCAGTAAGGCGTTTGTTTAACGAAGAAACAACTACAGATGCCCCGCCAAGCTCGTCCGTTCTTTCGCTACCGTCTTCCGATACGGGCAGTTCTTCGTCGTACTGGCCTCCGGAAATTAGAAAAGGTGTCGAGCTGACGTTGTGCGTTACTACCAGAAATTCGAAAGAAGGTGAAGGACGTACAAAACGTGGTCGCAGAAGGTTGTCTGGTAGAAGGTTTAGGCTTTGTGAAATGTTGTTAGAAAACCAGGACTTCTTCAACACGAAGATAATGGATGAGGTGAAAGCTCCGACAGTGAGATTGAAGCTCTACGTGGAAGAGTTTTTCGACGAGATTTACCACACAGCGGAAATATGTTGCGGCGACGAGCAAAAAAAGAAACGTAAGGAAGACGAAAGATCGCTGGAGCGGGACAGGAGGGGTAGGGCGAATTTTTTAGAAACCGGACGTCTTGTGGCTTCGCGGGACAGGGGTAGGGCGGATTTTTTAGAAACCGGACGTCTTGTGGCTTCGTGTGAACTTGCGAATGCGTTTGAGAACGAAGACTGGACGCGGACAAAAGTATCGCTGTCTCACCTTTTGATGTGCAAGATCATCCTTATTTATGGAAGCAACTACCTAGAGTTTTCCAGCTGATGAGTAAAAACTTTGATGTAAAAATGCTTCTTTTAGAGGACTTAATCACATGGTCATGGACAATATGATCCAGAAGAAGCCGCTTCAGAAGATTTTTACGTCTAAGTGAAGCAGCCACAATCGCAGCCAGTCGACGTCTTGAGGGCGCTTGTCATGGTTCACTGGCAGATGCAGGTAAATTTGCAGGGGCTAGATGCAAAGCATGCTGACGCGCTATGCTTGTTCCAGTTCCTGCGCGGGGTTTTCACTTTGCTGCCTCGGATTGTGACCCTAGTTGAAGCCTCGGTGAAGGCACTTATTATGGCATGCTGACTCTTACCACAATTTGAGACATTTGCTAAGTATCTACTACGCGGCATAAGAGATGAAAAAGTCATGCACAGCTATTTAAGTAACTTAAATTATTTTCATGATTAACTTTCACCATTTTCAAAGTTGAGCATTCATTGACAGCGAAAGTGGGGAGAGTGGACACGAACTGACTGAAGATACTAGTACTATGCAGAAGGAGCACGACGATGCAAGGGTGGTATATTCTCCTGCTTTAGCGCCTTCTAGTGTAGCTGCCTCCCTCACCACCCCTGGTTCTGGAGGTGAAAAGAAGGATAGCTTTCTGGTAGAAATCACTTCCGGCTTCACGAAGCATCAAGTGGACAAAGCATTACCGGAGTTAGGATTGCGAGTCTTGTGTGGTGTCGTATGCTGCGTCCTCGGTTATGTCCACCATCCCAGTCGGATCGGTTATGTCCGCCATCCCAGGCGGCACTTGGGCGGTCGTCGCTACCGGCAAGGCGTATTGGGCGACGCCTTTATTTCTGCTTGTAATGGTATCGTGAGTGCGTCACGTGTGAAAAATCTAGATGGGCTTTTAAGTAGTGACGTTCTTTTTAGACCACGTTTATTTGGCACAGAGCAAGAAGATGGCGGCTTACTTTCACGACCTTTTTCACTTCTAGTGGCAACCTTTCGGAGAGTGATTATTTATTGCACGGCTTGGGACTGGGCTGAAGCGTACGAGGACCTGAGTCGGTATGTGCGTCCGAGGAGCCAGTCTAAAAAATTTGAAAAAAGTTTTTGGAGGAAAGATTCCTCCAACGGAAGGCCGTTAGATGAACTATTGCCAGGGCATTATCATTACGGTCACCTTTCGCTCGTTTAGAACCCATACCCATCTGTCGGAGCTTCTAAGGCACTGCTTGGAGACGGTTACTTTGTTAAGACAAAGATTAGCGTGGTGGAAACGGTTCTTTCCGCTTGGGAGCGGTTGGCAGGTTCTACAGGATGGGCTCTGGGTTCCAAAAGAGATTGTGGGCCTTTCTAATATTGACGCTTCTTTTTGATGGACCACGTCGATAGCCTTACCACTCCATTTGAGTATGACACAGGCAAGGGCTTGCTGTATCGCGATATTTTGCCTGGTGTGGATGCGAAAGGACTCCATCACGATGTCCTTGCTGCTATTCTGAAGATCTTGGGCGGAGCAAGTTGGACGAGAACAGAGGAGGAGAGCCGGCAAGTGCTTTCGTTTTTTGTTGAAGTTTTGCATGCGTACAATGTATGGCTACAAAGAAACCTTGGTCCCTCACAAAGAAGTTCTGACCTACTGTCGTGGTGCCGCTTGGGGTACCTCTGATAAGTAATGATGAAACCACGACAGGACTAGATTCAGACGCGACAGAAGATCAAGGAATTTTTTTTTACCATTCTCTTTTTCATACAATTTTGAACCGGTGACATTTGAATCGTCGTGGCTCCCAAGAAATATGTCTCGTCGAGATGTGGGAGCAGGGCTAGCGGTGTCTTCCGTGACGTGTGCCCTCTTGGGCGAAATAATGCGTGCTTTAGGACCTCATTGCCTCCTGGACGAAAGAGGGCAAGGACTACTTGAAAAAGAAGAGGAAGGGCAACAAGACGAAGAAGAAATGATCGCCAATGAAGAGGACAAGATCACATTAAACGAAGAGCCTTTACTCCATAAGCCTACCTCAGTTGATCGCGCGACACAGGACGAAGGAAAAGTAGACGAAAATGCCGCAAAATTTCTACGGAGCAAACTATGCCGAGAAGAGGCGTCCATCAGAGCCCTGCTGCACATCATACATGATTGTGAAACCGTTTCTAACAGTGCTACAACAAGCGGGAGAGACCAAAAAGCTTTGGCTTGCGCTCGAACCTGCCAGCAGCGCGCGAGCGTTATTTTGCGTCATGTTCTTTGCTTTGGAGGAGAAGAAAAGGGCGAAGGGGGTGGAGGAAGTGACCGAGCGCTAGCGTGGAAGTGCCTGGTGAAGGTTTGCGTACGCGACGGGGCTTTCTTTTGTATTAACAGTGTGCGGCGCGCTTTTAGGAAGTTTTTTTGGAGTCGGTACTGCATTCCCTACGTGACAGGGCTCATTGGCATACTCGTCGTTTTCGTCATCTTGGCCTTCTTTTTGCCTCTTGGGTTTACTTTTGTCTTCTTCGGTGAGCTTTTTGGGTTCGGTTCGGAGGAGGGTACAGTGAGCCTCAGTCGTGCCACCACCTTCATCCGAGACATCCCGATCGCCTGGAGGAGATGCACCGGGGACCTGTGGCACAGCTACAAATTACGAGCTTCGACATCACATCCTTCACTGACATGCTTGACCTCGGTCCAAGTGCTGCAAAATCGGTCAAGAATGTTGTGAAGAGTGTAATGCTGTAACCTTTAAACAGAGAGACTTACCCTTACGATATTAATTGTTGGCGCGGCTTCTATAGAGCCCGCACACCCATTCTGGGTTATGAGGCGGTCGTCAGCATCGAAGGCGAGGATTGGCCAGGAAGCGGGCGCTTTGTCGCAGGAACCTTTTTTCGATTGTGGCGGACGTGGAAATCCAGTCAAAAATTCGAAAAAAATTCGGACACTCCACCTTGTCCTCCTCTGGTATACATCATTTCAAACAGCATATCCATTTCGTCGTTTGCCACTCCCACCGCGCTTCTGGCTCTACTACTGGGGCCGCTGTGCCTCTACGTGACGCAGTTTTCATTTTTCGAAAATATTGTAGTGCTACTAGTGTGGTCTTGCTTTAAGCAGTGCTCTCATAGATTTTTCTGACGAAGAATTCATCGATGCGTTAGACGTCATCCATGTGCTCGCGGTACCCGACAAGATCTTTCAATATCTACTTCTTGGGAGGAGGAAGGGAAAGAAGTAGACCTAGCCGATCCCCTTCGTGCTGAAGGTGGTGATGCTGCTGCTTTGTTGGACCAAGCAGATAATCGACAACAGTCTTCATCCCATTGGCGTGACGGGGAAGGTGGAAGACAACGAGGAAAAAAGGCCACTTCTTCTAGGGATGATGCTGATGCTGATCTCTCGTCTACTAGTTCCTCAAAAGAGCGATCTTCTAAGGAAAGACGTAAGAGTGGCAATAGTACGTCGTCTAAAGGTGGTGGGACGGGGACCAATTCCTCCTCAACATCCAAGGAAAAAGCGAATAGTACTGAGGACACTCCTGGTCATGTTCATGACGTTGGGGACACGAAAAAAGTGTTAAGGCTCAAAAATACAATTCATTTCTACAACAACTCACTTTTCTCTGTTTTCTTCCTGAAATCGTGAGAAAATGAACCCGAGAAATGAATTGCTTGGGCTCTAAGAGTGCGTCAGATTCACCGCGTGCACCGTGCGAACAGCATCGATTTGGTGAACTATTACTTGCACAATGTCGGTGATTTGCATACTACGAATCTAGGAGGAGGAAGTGGGGCGTCTGGCTTGCCACCGAAAGGGTCACTCTTAACTGGTGACCGACCGTCCTTTGAAGAAGAAGATGGCATGAACATTCTTGGAAGAAACAACCACTATATCATGAATGCAGCTCTTCCTTCAAAGAATCAAGCACCATACGCTGGAATGCAGCAAGAACGGGCGCTACAGAGGATGATGGAGCACATGCTAGGAGGCTTTCGAGAGCAGATAGTAGCGGATGTGCAACGAGTGATGGCAGAAAATCGTGCGGAATAATTAAATACATTTTACAGTAAGCAGCAAAGAAACAACACGCACACTGGAACAACAAGACTAATTCTCGTCGCAGCATGGTACTCAAAATTTGAAATTTAGACGAAGGTACATGCCAGAGACATTATGATTCGAAGTATTTGATTCAGTATTCCTTGACCACTTTTTGATTTAAATTACTAGGATATAATCTCAATCTCTTAAGAAAGAAATGACATAAACTCGCGTGATACAACGAACACATCAATGAACATGGATTGAAGAATCTGGACGCTATTCTTTCACAACGACACGCGATAGCTTCTCTCTTGTGCATGATATGATTCAGCGATTAGAAACGAAGTACTCTATTTAAAGTACATTAACATAACAGCAAGCAAACCAGAAAGCACAAACTGAATCACAGGCTTCGCCTTTCCGTATCAAGTCAACTGCGTATCTGCATAGATAGTATAGACAAGTAACAGTGTCAAAAGAAGTATCTGCATAGTAAGTTTTCAAAGTGAGAATGACGTAAAAAAGTAAGAGGAACAAATACACTTGTGAAGAACTAAGCACACCTATTTGTGCAGCGATATTCTTACGACGAAAAATGCACCCCCAGCGCACTCCGAGTCAAAATGTCCCAGAGCTGAAAACACAAGTTACCATACAAACAGCCACAGTGCAGTAATAGCCAAAATGCAGTTCGAGAAAGTGAGTGAACACATAGCTGCAAGGTACTTTGACATATGATCTATCATGCATACATCCTAAGGTCAAGAATTTAGAATTAGTCTTTTTGCGACTTACACTATTCATGCTTCTTTTTGAGTATTGACCGATTGCACTGGTATCATAGTCGAACAAGATGATCCCAATATGAGCCTTCTCTTCCTCGTAGCAAATGATATGTAACTGTGACAGTATTTTTACCAAGCCATGATAATAATATTTTTGAGTAGGTTATCAAGACGAATTATTTGCCACAAACAGTCAACGTGCTGCCGAGCACTGGGCCTTTCGATGTGTTTTGAGAGCGCCGAGTTACGACGGGCAAAAGAGTACTACGAGTAGGAACGAAAATTTCAACGAACAATGTCATTGTGCGTTATGTTCAGCGATGAATGTCATTGCGCGTCATATTGAGCGTGAGTTAATGTCATTGTGCGTCACAATTGAACTTGAGTGATGCTGCTATCTGTTGAGATGACCGATGCTGCTATCTGTTGAGGTGACTGATTGACGCTGTCTGGAACCTGCTGCGTAGTGATGTGAAGCTCTCAATTGAAGGCTTCTTGGAGTTGAATTCTGCACGAGATTTTCATCGGACTGTTTCATCGGACTGTCTCTCTATCTGTGCGCGTTATTTTCGCCCCATGTACTAATGAATTTCCAGTGCCCTAGGGCCCTTTTGATATAATGAAGATCGCCCGGAACACCTTACCTCATGCGTAGAAAAGGAGCATAAGTAATCCCTTTGATATATCAATAGTTACTTTTATGATATCTGCTAGAGAACATGTACAAGTACAGTAATCGGAAATCATTGAATCGCTTCCATATCCTATCATCCCCGCTTTCTAGGTAGTTGTTCAAGAAATTGACATTCTACTTGTTTTTGGTGAATCGAAGACACGACAGCAACAGCTTAAATCTGCTTGACATTCTGCTTGTTTTTGTTGAATCGAAGACACGACAGCAACAGTTTTCCTATTTCTGGCTTTCTGAATTGGGAAAAGCATGTCATTGATCTACTGCTGACTACAACTCTACTTGTAGCTCAAAATGAAAAACTAGCATCTACTGATATTTTTACTTCCATCCAATGCTAATGCGAGATTTGTTTTTAGGATAATAAATTCCAAAATGTTGAGTTCGACTCCATCAAGTCCCCCACAAGCAGACTGCTCCCGTGGGAAACCACCGAGAGTGCGGGTTGATGTGTACATGCTTTCCGGGGAGTGCAAGAGTTTTGAGGTGGAAGGTAAAGTCTCTACGAAAGCAGGGTCGTCATGGTTCTTCGTCACGTCACTTGACGATCTAAAGGGACGGATCGAAGAAGCGACGTGGGTGCACCGCGAGCAGCAACTGATTCTTGATATATGGATGAGAAGTCTGTTCTTTCTTGTTTTTCGTATCCTAATGTTTTTAACGCAGGTGGATTAACATTTTATTTTGCGCTGGAGGATTAACATTTTATTTTGCGCTCATTCCCCCATTCTTTTTAATGCAGTCTCAGTCCTCTGTCATCAGTTTGAATGTTGTGAGCCTTCGACTTTTCACTATACGCTTATTTTTTCTCTGCAGAAAGAAAGTGGTGGAGAAAAAATACTTATACTTATAGAAAACAACTAGAACATCTTCGTTCATAGACGGACGCAGGGGAGCCAGTCGATTGTGACGAGTCAGTAAGGCGTTTGTTTAACGAAGAAACAACTACAGATGCCCCGCCAAGCTCGTCCGTTCTTTCGCTACCGTCTTCCGATACGGGCAGTTCTTCGTCGTACTGGCCTCCGGAAATTAGAAAAGGTGTCGAGCTGACGTTGTGCGTTACTACCAGAAATTCGAAAGAAGGTGAAGGACGTACAAAACGTGGTCGCAGAAGGTTGTCTGGTAGAAGGTTTAGGCTTTGTGAAATGTTGTTAGAAAACCAGGACTTCTTCAACACGAAGATAATGGATGAGGTGAAAGCTCCGACAGTGAGATTGAAGCTCTACGTGGAAGAGTTTTTCGACGAGATTTACCACACAGCGGAAATATGTTGCGGCGACGAGCAAAAAAAGAAACGTAAGGAAGACGAAAGATCGCTGGAGCGGGACAGGAGGGGTAGGGCGAATTTTTTAGAAACCGGACGTCTTGTGGCTTCGCGGGACAGGGGTAGGGCGGATTTTTTAGAAACCGGACGTCTTGTGGCTTCGTGTGAACTTGCGAATGCGTTTGAGAACGAAGACTGGACGCGGACAAAAGTATCGCTGTCTCACCTTTTGATGTGCAAGATCATCCTTATTTATGGAAGCAACTACCTAGAGTTTTCCAGCTGATGAGTAAAAACTTTGATGTAAAAATGCTTCTTTTAGAGGACTTAATCACATGGTCATGGACAATATGATCCAGAAGAAGCCGCTTCAGAAGATTTTTACGTCTAAGTGAAGCAGCCACAATCGCAGCCAGTCGACGTCTTGAGGGCGCTTGTCATGGTTCACTGGCAGATGCAGGTAAATTTGCAGGGGCTAGATGCAAAGCATGCTGACGCGCTATGCTTGTTCCAGTTCCTGCGCGGGGTTTTCACTTTGCTGCCTCGGATTGTGACCCTAGTTGAAGCCTCGGTGAAGGCACTTATTATGGCATGCTGACTCTTACCACAATTTGAGACATTTGCTAAGTATCTACTACGCGGCATAAGAGATGAAAAAGTCATGCACAGCTATTTAAGTAACTTAAATTATTTTCATGATTAACTTTCACCATTTTCAAAGTTGAGCATTCATTGACAGCGAAAGTGGGGAGAGTGGACACGAACTGACTGAAGATACTAGTACTATGCAGAAGGAGCACGACGATGCAAGGGTGGTATATTCTCCTGCTTTAGCGCCTTCTAGTGTAGCTGCCTCCCTCACCACCCCTGGTTCTGGAGGTGAAAAGAAGGATAGCTTTCTGGTAGAAATCACTTCCGGCTTCACGAAGCATCAAGTGGACAAAGCATTACCGGAGTTAGGATTGCGAGTCTTGTGTGGTGTCGTATGCTGCGTCCTCGGTTATGTCCACCATCCCAGTCGGATCGGTTATGTCCGCCATCCCAGGCGGCACTTGGGCGGTCGTCGCTACCGGCAAGGCGTATTGGGCGACGCCTTTATTTCTGCTTGTAATGGTATCGTGAGTGCGTCACGTGTGAAAAATCTAGATGGGCTTTTAAGTAGTGACGTTCTTTTTAGACCACGTTTATTTGGCACAGAGCAAGAAGATGGCGGCTTACTTTCACGACCTTTTTCACTTCTAGTGGCAACCTTTCGGAGAGTGATTATTTATTGCACGGCTTGGGACTGGGCTGAAGCGTACGAGGACCTGAGTCGGTATGTGCGTCCGAGGAGCCAGTCTAAAAAATTTGAAAAAAGTTTTTGGAGGAAAGATTCCTCCAACGGAAGGCCGTTAGATGAACTATTGCCAGGGCATTATCATTACGGTCACCTTTCGCTCGTTTAGAACCCATACCCATCTGTCGGAGCTTCTAAGGCACTGCTTGGAGACGGTTACTTTGTTAAGACAAAGATTAGCGTGGTGGAAACGGTTCTTTCCGCTTGGGAGCGGTTGGCAGGTTCTACAGGATGGGCTCTGGGTTCCAAAAGAGATTGTGGGCCTTTCTAATATTGACGCTTCTTTTTGATGGACCACGTCGATAGCCTTACCACTCCATTTGAGTATGACACAGGCAAGGGCTTGCTGTATCGCGATATTTTGCCTGGTGTGGATGCGAAAGGACTCCATCACGATGTCCTTGCTGCTATTCTGAAGATCTTGGGCGGAGCAAGTTGGACGAGAACAGAGGAGGAGAGCCGGCAAGTGCTTTCGTTTTTTGTTGAAGTTTTGCATGCGTACAATGTATGGCTACAAAGAAACCTTGGTCCCTCACAAAGAAGTTCTGACCTACTGTCGTGGTGCCGCTTGGGGTACCTCTGATAAGTAATGATGAAACCACGACAGGACTAGATTCAGACGCGACAGAAGATCAAGGAATTTTTTTTTACCATTCTCTTTTTCATACAATTTTGAACCGGTGACATTTGAATCGTCGTGGCTCCCAAGAAATATGTCTCGTCGAGATGTGGGAGCAGGGCTAGCGGTGTCTTCCGTGACGTGTGCCCTCTTGGGCGAAATAATGCGTGCTTTAGGACCTCATTGCCTCCTGGACGAAAGAGGGCAAGGACTACTTGAAAAAGAAGAGGAAGGGCAACAAGACGAAGAAGAAATGATCGCCAATGAAGAGGACAAGATCACATTAAACGAAGAGCCTTTACTCCATAAGCCTACCTCAGTTGATCGCGCGACACAGGACGAAGGAAAAGTAGACGAAAATGCCGCAAAATTTCTACGGAGCAAACTATGCCGAGAAGAGGCGTCCATCAGAGCCCTGCTGCACATCATACATGATTGTGAAACCGTTTCTAACAGTGCTACAACAAGCGGGAGAGACCAAAAAGCTTTGGCTTGCGCTCGAACCTGCCAGCAGCGCGCGAGCGTTATTTTGCGTCATGTTCTTTGCTTTGGAGGAGAAGAAAAGGGCGAAGGGGGTGGAGGAAGTGACCGAGCGCTAGCGTGGAAGTGCCTGGTGAAGGTTTGCGTACGCGACGGGGCTTTCTTTTGTATTAACAGTGTGCGGCGCGCTTTTAGGAAGTTTTTTTGGAGTCGGTACTGCATTCCCTACGTGACAGGGCTCATTGGCATACTCGTCGTTTTCGTCATCTTGGCCTTCTTTTTGCCTCTTGGGTTTACTTTTGTCTTCTTCGGTGAGCTTTTTGGGTTCGGTTCGGAGGAGGGTACAGTGAGCCTCAGTCGTGCCACCACCTTCATCCGAGACATCCCGATCGCCTGGAGGAGATGCACCGGGGACCTGTGGCACAGCTACAAATTACGAGCTTCGACATCACATCCTTCACTGACATGCTTGACCTCGGTCCAAGTGCTGCAAAATCGGTCAAGAATGTTGTGAAGAGTGTAATGCTGTAACCTTTAAACAGAGAGACTTACCCTTACGATATTAATTGTTGGCGCGGCTTCTATAGAGCCCGCACACCCATTCTGGGTTATGAGGCGGTCGTCAGCATCGAAGGCGAGGATTGGCCAGGAAGCGGGCGCTTTGTCGCAGGAACCTTTTTTCGATTGTGGCGGACGTGGAAATCCAGTCAAAAATTCGAAAAAAATTCGGACACTCCACCTTGTCCTCCTCTGGTATACATCATTTCAAACAGCATATCCATTTCGTCGTTTGCCACTCCCACCGCGCTTCTGGCTCTACTACTGGGGCCGCTGTGCCTCTACGTGACGCAGTTTTCATTTTTCGAAAATATTGTAGTGCTACTAGTGTGGTCTTGCTTTAAGCAGTGCTCTCATAGATTTTTCTGACGAAGAATTCATCGATGCGTTAGACGTCATCCATGTGCTCGCGGTACCCGACAAGATCTTTCAATATCTACTTCTTGGGAGGAGGAAGGGAAAGAAGTAGACCTAGCCGATCCCCTTCGTGCTGAAGGTGGTGATGCTGCTGCTTTGTTGGACCAAGCAGATAATCGACAACAGTCTTCATCCCATTGGCGTGACGGGGAAGGTGGAAGACAACGAGGAAAAAAGGCCACTTCTTCTAGGGATGATGCTGATGCTGATCTCTCGTCTACTAGTTCCTCAAAAGAGCGATCTTCTAAGGAAAGACGTAAGAGTGGCAATAGTACGTCGTCTAAAGGTGGTGGGACGGGGACCAATTCCTCCTCAACATCCAAGGAAAAAGCGAATAGTACTGAGGACACTCCTGGTCATGTTCATGACGTTGGGGACACGAAAAAAGTGTTAAGGCTCAAAAATACAATTCATTTCTACAACAACTCACTTTTCTCTGTTTTCTTCCTGAAATCGTGAGAAAATGAACCCGAGAAATGAATTGCTTGGGCTCTAAGAGTGCGTCAGATTCACCGCGTGCACCGTGCGAACAGCATCGATTTGGTGAACTATTACTTGCACAATGTCGGTGATTTGCATACTACGAATCTAGGAGGAGGAAGTGGGGCGTCTGGCTTGCCACCGAAAGGGTCACTCTTAACTGGTGACCGACCGTCCTTTGAAGAAGAAGATGGCATGAACATTCTTGGAAGAAACAACCACTATATCATGAATGCAGCTCTTCCTTCAAAGAATCAAGCACCATACGCTGGAATGCAGCAAGAACGGGCGCTACAGAGGATGATGGAGCACATGCTAGGAGGCTTTCGAGAGCAGATAGTAGCGGATGTGCAACGAGTGATGGCAGAAAATCGTGCGGAATAATTAAATACATTTTACAGTAAGCAGCAAAGAAACAACACGCACACTGGAACAACAAGACTAATTCTCGTCGCAGCATGGTACTCAAAATTTGAAATTTAGACGAAGGTACATGCCAGAGACATTATGATTCGAAGTATTTGATTCAGTATTCCTTGACCACTTTTTGATTTAAATTACTAGGATATAATCTCAATCTCTTAAGAAAGAAATGACATAAACTCGCGTGATACAACGAACACATCAATGAACATGGATTGAAGAATCTGGACGCTATTCTTTCACAACGACACGCGATAGCTTCTCTCTTGTGCATGATATGATTCAGCGATTAGAAACGAAGTACTCTATTTAAAGTACATTAACATAACAGCAAGCAAACCAGAAAGCACAAACTGAATCACAGGCTTCGCCTTTCCGTATCAAGTCAACTGCGTATCTGCATAGATAGTATAGACAAGTCACAGTGTCAAAAGAAGTATCTGCATAGTAAGTTTTCAAAGTGAGAATGACGTAAAAAAGTAAGAGGAACAAATACACTTGTGAAGAACTAAGCACACCTATTTGTGCAGCGATATTCTTACGACGAAAAATGCACCCCTGGCACACTCCGATTCAAAATTTCCCAGAGCTGAAAACACAAGTTACCATACAAGCAGCCACAGTGCAGTAATAGCCAAAATGCAGTTCGAGAAAGTGAGCTGCAAAGTACTTTGACATATGATCTATCATGCATACATGCTAATGTTTCGTTTAGAAGTAGAAAATACTAATGCACTGGTATCATAGTCGAACAAGATGATCCCAATATGAGCCTTCTCTTCCTCGTAGCAAATAACATGTAACTGTGACAGTATTTTTACCAAGCCATGATAATAACATTTTTGAGTAGGTTATCAAGACGAGTTATTTGCCACAAACAGTCAACGTGCTGCCGAGCGCTGGGCCCTTCGATGTGTTTTGAGAGCGCCGAGTTACGACGGGCAAAAGAGTACTACGAGTAGGAACGAAAATTTCAACGAACAATGTCATTGTGCGTTATGTAGTTCAACGATGAATGTCATTGCGCGTCATATTGAGCGTGAGTTAATGTCATTGCGCGTTACAATTGAACTTGAGTGATGCTGCTATCTGTTGAGGTGAGCGATGCTGCCATCTGTTGAGGTGACTGATTGACGCTGTCTGGAACCTGTTGTGTGGTGATGTGAAGCTCTCAATTGAAGGCTTCTTGGAGTTGAATTCTCCACGAGAGTTTCATCGGAGTGTCTCTCTATCTGTGCGTGTTATTTTCGCCCCATGTACTAATGAATTTCCAGTGCCCTAGGGCCCTTTTGATATAATGAAGATCGCCCGGAACACCTTACCTCATGCGTAGAAAAGGAGCATAAGTAATCCCTTTGATATATCAATAGTTACTTTTATGATATCTGCTAGAGAACATGTACAAGTACAGTAATCGGAAATCATTGAATCGCTTCCATATCCTATCATCCCCGCTTTCTAGGTAGTTGTTCAAGAAATTGACATTCTACTTGTTTTTGGTGAATCGAAGACACGACAGCAACAGCTTAAATCTGCTTGACATTCTGCTTGTTTTTGTTGAATCGAAGACACGACAGCAACAGTTTTCCTATTTCTGGCTTTCTGAATTGGGAAAAGCATGTCATTGATCTACTGCTGACTACAACTCTACTTGTAGCTCAAAATGAAAAACTAGCATCTACTGATATTTTTACTTCCATCCAATGCTAATGCGAGATTTGTTTTTAGGATAATAAATTCCAAAATGTTGAGTTCGACTCCATCAAGTCCCCCACAATCAGACTGCTCCCGTGGGAAACCACCGAGAGTGCGGGTTGATGTGTACATGCTTTCCGGGGAGTGCAAGAGTTTTGAGGTGGAAGGTAAAGTCTCTACGAAAGCAGGGTCGTCATGGTTCTTCGTCACGTCACTTGACGATCTAAAGGGACGGATCGAAGAAGCGACGTGGGTGCACCGCGAGCAGCAACTGATTCTTGATATATGGATGAGAAGTCTGTTCTTTCTTGTTTTTCGTATCCTAATGTTTTTAACGCAGGTGGATTAACATTTTATTTTGCGCTGGAGGATTAACATTTTATTTTGCGCTCATTCCCCCATTCTTTTTAATGCAGTCTCAGTCCTCTGTCATCAGTTTGAATGTTGTGAGCCTTCGACTTTTCACTATACGCTTATTTTTTCTCTGCAGAAAGAAAGTGGTGGAGAAAAAATACTTATACTTATAGAAAACAACTAGAACATCTTCGTTCATAGACGGACGCAGGGGAGCCAGTCGATTGTGACGAGTCAGTAAGGCGTTTGTTTAACGAAGAAACAACTACAGATGCCCCGCCAAGCTCGTCCGTTCTTTCGCTACCGTCTTCCGATACGGGCAGTTCTTCGTCGTACTGGCCTCCGGAAATTAGAAAAGGTGTCGAGCTGACGTTGTGCGTTACTACCAGAAATTCGAAAGAAGGTGAAGGACGTACAAAACGTGGTCGCAGAAGGTTGTCTGGTAGAAGGTTTAGGCTTTGTGAAATGTTGTTAGAAAACCAGGACTTCTTCAACACGAAGATAATGGATGAGGTGAAAGCTCCGACAGTGAGATTGAAGCTCTACGTGGAAGAGTTTTTCGACGAGATTTACCACACAGCGGAAATATGTTGCGGCGACGAGCAAAAAAAGAAACGTAAGGAAGACGAAAGATCGCTGGAGCGGGACAGGAGGGGTAGGGCGAATTTTTTAGAAACCGGACGTCTTGTGGCTTCGCGGGACAGGGGTAGGGCGGATTTTTTAGAAACCGGACGTCTTGTGGCTTCGTGTGAACTTGCGAATGCGTTTGAGAACGAAGACTGGACGCGGACAAAAGTATCGCTGTCTCACCTTTTGATGTGCAAGATCATCCTTATTTATGGAAGCAACTACCTAGAGTTTTCCAGCTGATGAGTAAAAACTTTGATGTAAAAATGCTTCTTTTAGAGGACTTAATCACATGGTCATGGACAATATGATCCAGAAGAAGCCGCTTCAGAAGATTTTTACGTCTAAGTGAAGCAGCCACAATCGCAGCCAGTCGACGTCTTGAGGGCGCTTGTCATGGTTCACTGGCAGATGCAGGTAAATTTGCAGGGGCTAGATGCAAAGCATGCTGACGCGCTATGCTTGTTCCAGTTCCTGCGCGGGGTTTTCACTTTGCTGCCTCGGATTGTGACCCTAGTTGAAGCCTCGGTGAAGGCACTTATTATGGCATGCTGACTCTTACCACAATTTGAGACATTTGCTAAGTATCTACTACGCGGCATAAGAGATGAAAAAGTCATGCACAGCTATTTAAGTAACTTAAATTATTTTCATGATTAACTTTCACCATTTTCAAAGTTGAGCATTCATTGACAGCGAAAGTGGGGAGAGTGGACACGAACTGACTGAAGATACTAGTACTATGCAGAAGGAGCACGACGATGCAAGGGTGGTATATTCTCCTGCTTTAGCGCCTTCTAGTGTAGCTGCCTCCCTCACCACCCCTGGTTCTGGAGGTGAAAAGAAGGATAGCTTTCTGGTAGAAATCACTTCCGGCTTCACGAAGCATCAAGTGGACAAAGCATTACCGGAGTTAGGATTGCGAGTCTTGTGTGGTGTCGTATGCTGCGTCCTCGGTTATGTCCACCATCCCAGTCGGATCGGTTATGTCCGCCATCCCAGGCGGCACTTGGGCGGTCGTCGCTACCGGCA